TTTCATTCACAAAATATAACAAATCAATTAATAAAAATGGTGAGCCGAAACATGAACAAAAATATACAATTATGCCTTATCATCAATTGGAAAGTTAATAAGATTTTTTGTAGAAAAACTCAATCAGTTACTTTCTTTGTCTCTCGTAAATAAATGCAAAGGCATTATACACACTGTTAATCCTATTATAAGTCCACAATTTAGCTTAATATGACGCAATCAATGATGAAAAAGGGAAGATTCGTGCTTTAAATCCAAAAACTGTAGCGCTCATTTTCAAGTTTTAAAGAATGTTTGCTTTCAATAAATTGGTCAATACTTGAAAACGGCTTAATAAAGCCCATCTGCACTAATTCGGCCAGGTCACTGACAGGTGGTTATCTCATCAAATCAACTCTCAATTAACATAAGGAAAAGGGGACAATCAATTTCCAACTTCTTAGTAATACCATGTACCAATTTAAATTGATTATTACCGTAGTATGAGCATCATGATTAATATTGCCAACTTTGTGTATTGCATAACATGTTCATTTTTTTTTTTTTTTTTTGGAGTCCAAAAAATAATCGCACTGAGCCAGCCGAAAAGTCGCTCATTAGGGGGGGGGGGGGGGGGGGGGGGGTTAGTGAGCACATTTTTTTTTTGGGGGGGGGGGGGTCCTCGAAAATTTTAAAATTTGCACCCTCCCCCCTTGAGCGCCAGGGGGGGGGGGGGCAACCCCAAAAAGGTAAAAATCGCGTGATTTTGCATGATTTTTTTCTCAAGGGGAGGGGGGGCGGGCCCCCCTGGATCCGCCACTGGGTAGGCATGTGCGTATGTATATATTTAGGTCTTCGTAGGAATGGGGACTTGTTTAGCGACGCTGCTGGTTCGAAATTTAACGTCTTTGATCGATCCGGGAAGTGAAATTCAATTATTAAAAGACCATCACTATTCTCCTTCTTTGTAACACCATAAAGGTCACATGTACACACACACACACACACACGCACACATACTAATTTCTTTACCGAACAAACGAGTTATAATTTATAACAACTCCTTGATCAAACAAAGGTTTATGAGAGGAGTTGAAAGGGTCTTCGCCCGGGGCTGTCCCCTGCTCTACTTTGCCCAAATAATGAGCTCATTGTCAAGGCCCAAGGTATATCGTCTCTCTCCTTCTCTGGTGTCTTTAGCATCCTCTTTTCCCTTGATGTGAATAATTATATCATCATCAATATACATACATACATAGATACATATATATATATATATATATATAATATATATATATATATATGGGAACAACATGAAAGTTGACTTGGCGTCGAGCGACCCCAAGTAAAAAAAATAGTAGAAAAAGTAGAATAATACAAAGTTTTGTATAGGTGAATACATGTACGGGTACCACACAGTCATACATATACGTATTGTGTCGTATTTGTACAGCCTCTTTATCATTCATTTTATTACTTTTATTAGAATTAACAGCTATTATCATAATAATTGTCATACATTAATAACTGTATGGTTCTCGTAGATGCATTCACCTATACAATTCTACATACATGTTTTATTATGCATCATTTTCTTTTCTAAACATAGAAGTCGACTCAGGGTCGGTCGACTTAGGGCTACGTTAGTTTTCATTTGGGTATTTCTATTGCTGCATATATTTACCCACATGCACATCTTACAGCGTCATTAGACGGACATACACTGTCACTCATAAAGTTTGAATATTTTTGTTTTACCCCAATTTATGGAATTATTTTAAAAATAATTTAAAAATAATAGATAATAATAGCCTAATAGTCCACTCCAAATTTTATGAAACCGAAACGAAAATTCTTTTTGCCCAATTGATCGTGAGCCCGGCAGCCACTGAGCAGCGCCAGATCGACGTTGCTCTATCCCTTATTGTTGAACGCCAAACAAGGTAGCAACAACTCCCATCTTTTAACGTCTTTTGGTATGACGCGGCCGGGGTTCGAACCCACGACCTCTCGGTTGTGAGGCGGACGCTCTACTGACTGAGCCAACACTCCGGTAGTTTTTCTAGATAATAGTATACATTCTCAGATTTTATTGAATAATAATTGGATAATGTGTGTTTTGCGTGACTGCTAAAGCATGTGTATGCTACCATGCTTATCAACTAGGGGACCTACGCCCTTAAGTCATAAATGGCAGTAATGAGGATTAATGCCCCCACAAAAGGGCACTTATATAGCACATCGACACGGGTAAAGTGTTATTACATTTGTGGGCATTATTACATTTGCAGGTGTAACACCCCCCCCCCCCCCACTGGCGCTCAAGGGGGGGGGGTGCAAATTTTTAAATTTCCGAGGACAAAAAAAAAATAAAATGTGTCACATTTTGTTGATGTAAACTAGTAATGCAAAGGGCCGTCACCCCCTTAAATAATAATTATGTAACTAATGGAGTAGGCCTACCACGTACCTTGAAGCTTATCTGTACTAGTTAGGTCACTGGACACAATGCATTAACTTAGCTCTCAATTAACATAGGAAAAAGAGGATCAATGGTCACCGAGTAGGCATTGTTTTCTATATAGAGGGAGCAAGTAGCTACCAGTTGGACAGTGTGGCTTTAATGCACCCTTTCGGGATAAGCCGGTGGGAAGGGGGGGGGGGTTCTGAATTCCATACATAGAAAGAAATTGATTTATTTTTTGTTTTTATTTTAATAAAAAACGACTGAAATGCAAGACAAATTTATTTGACATTTTTAAATATCAAATTATTTGGTTGTGTTTCTTGTTTCTTGTGGGAGTTTCGTGGTCGAGTGGTTTAAGGCGCTTGCACTTGGAGATGCGAAGGTCGAGGGTTCGAATCCCGACATGGCACTAATATCCTTTGGCAAGATATTAACCTGCACTTGCTTCTCTCCACCCAGGTGTTAAATGGGTACCCGGTAGGATGCGACCGTCATTGTTGGTCAAACAGTTTTTGAGCGTCATGTAACGCCTGGCTGGAATGCTCCCCAGGGAGTGGAGATTGTGCACACAGTGTGCGGGTAAGCACTGAATCCAATGACCGGGGTAATAATATATTTGTAAAGCGCTTAGAGACATTTGTATTAAGTGCTATATAAAAATTAAATATTATTATTTATTGATTTAATTCTTGTAAACGCCTGATCTGCAAGACTACATAAAAACTGGCGTAATGGAATTTGTAATCTTTTTCTATTTTGATAATTGAATTTAAACGACTTAAATATATATTCCTTATATTCTATTATAAACGACTGATGTTGAAGGCTAGTCAACGCATCCTTTCGGCAAAACCGTGAGGGGGGGGGCGGGTTTTTTTTGGAAGAATGGTCGCGTTCCAGTCAACGCGACGCGACGCGACGCGACGCTACCGCCCTTTCGGCATAAGCCTCTTAAATTATGTTTCCCTTCCATTTAACCGACTCAAAGTCTTCTATATACGAGTAGTAATTCATTCTGAATTCATTAAAATGTGTTCTCTTTTACCAAGAAGGCTTTATTTCTTCAAAATACAAATTACAAAGCGAAAACAAAACAACATGACAAAATTTAACATGAAGTTAATTATGATATCATAATTATATGCTGCGGGAAAGGTGAAATAATTATGCTGGATGAGTTGAAAGCTAAGTCCACTCAAATTTTTGAAAATTATAGCATGTTGTAAATTAATTAAAGGTTAAAACTGCCAGCTATCAAAACTTCAAAATACAAAATTACAAAGTGAAAACAAAACAACATGACTAACTAATTAATCAAAGGTTTAAAACTGCCAAATATCAAAACTTCAAAATACACATTACAAAGCGAAAACAAAACAACGTGACAAACTTGAACATGAAGTTAATTATGATATCATAATTTTATGCTGCGGGAAAGGTGAAATATGTTGGATAAGTTGAAAGTCTACTCAAATTTTCGAAAATTATAGCATGTTGTAAATTAATCAAAGGTTAAAACTGTCAAATATCATGGCCTTACTTCAACCAGGTGATTATTTAGAACGATTTTCATAATTTGTATAGTAGTCAAGTCGCGGACGTCTTTGTGAGGACCCTACGTCACAAAATATGTCGCGCAATGCATTGTGGGTGAGAACCGGCTCGATCATTAACTAATTAAAGTATTAAAAATAGGTCCGAGCACCATTTTCTAATACCAAGTTATATTAAGGCTCCTTAGATTTGTGTCCATCTATTCATCTCAACTTTTCAGTGGAGTGGACTTGGTCTTTAAAAGGCAATGTTGATAAGAGATAAAATGTTCGTTTTAAACAAAATATTCGTAAGTTTATAAAAATTACTAAATGGTTTAAATAATCGTAATCTTTTAATACACTTACGTAATAGTTGCTACAGAAGCAAAAACGATTTGGCATAATGAAACTACACTGTATTTACACTTTATATAATGTAAGAGAGAAATAAAGAAAGAGAGAGGGGAAGGAACGAAGGAGAGTAGGAAGGATGGAGAAAGGGAAAGAGAGAGAGGGGTAGGGAGAGGGGAGGGGAGAGTGGGGGAGGATGGCAAGAGAGAGGGGAGAGCGGGGAGCGGAGGGAGGATGGGAGAGACGTATGAATAGAGGGAGGGAGAGAGATAGAAGGAAAGGAGAGAAGGTATGGTATCAGTTTCAGAAAACTTAACATTATTTTACTCTTCAGTATGAGATATAATCACTGCTACTTGTATGTACATCACCTAAATATATACACGAATTACAAGCATGACAAAAGTATCATGGAATGGTTAGTATGCTCAAATGTAGCAAACGTGGTTTAGTACTATTAATAAGAAGCTACGAAATGATTATCATATTCATGAAAGCTATATCTACAAAAAAACAATAACTTCCATTACATCATTCAACCTTGCTCACTTTTGAGGAATGCTGGCAAGATTCAATTACTTAACGTAACTTCTGATTATTAAAAAAAGAGAGAAAGAGAGGATGAGAGAGATAGAGAGAGAGTGAGAGAGAGAGAGAGTGAGAGAGAGAGAGAGAGAGAGAGAGGGGGAGGGAGAGAGAGAGAAAGAGTGTGTGTAAGATAGAGAGAGAGAGGGTGAAGAAGGAGGGAAGGATAGAAATATTTAATCAGGGATCTATCCTAATCTAGTTCCATAGCCTCTTTTCGTCTTCAAATCTACCCTAGCAGTCCCATCAACCACCTGTCCTTGACATAACAGAAGTCTGAGGTCAAAGGTTAAATGCCAGACGCACTATGGCTGGATGCGTCCGTTCTTGATGGCCTGTACCTCACGTGCCAGCTGACACTGCGCGCACCATCCACAGATAACGGACGTACAACAATCGTTCAGAAGTGAGCCCTAGTAAGTGGAAAAGTAAAATATTTGCAACAATGTTAGTAGTATGTCCCTGCAGACATTTTATTCAAAATATTTGTCACAATTTTTAAATTTAATTCAATTCAATCTGCAAAAGTCTATATGGAAACCTCCCAATTTCAAAAAATGAAATGGAAGCTCCTTTGCCAATTATGTGAAAGAATATGTTTTGACTAAGACATGATAATAACATTTTTGCCGGGGAAACCGCCTACTAATTGATATATTTGGTAATTTAGTTTATCTATTAGTGTGTGAGATATAAAACGCAAGTGCCGTGCACGTGTGCGTAGTCCCATATACATCTTTCTCTGTACAGTGCTTGTAACTTTACGAAGACTGGGCCGAATTTCTTATCATTTTGATGATTCCAGAACCTTGCAGTACACACCAATACTTATATGCTAGATGATCAACCTTTTCTGATCGATTCCACAACGTTTCTTTCACAATGCAATTGCATGACCATAATTGGTTTTTATACGTCTTTTTAATAAAAAATAAAATTCCTAATAAAAACTAACGTACTCTTTATTTATGTGAACTAAGAAAAAATAAAAACCTTCATAATAATTATATGTAGCTCGTGATAGTATAGGCTAGAGAGAATTGAAAAGGAAACAGAACATGTTTATTGGAGGGGCTGGAATTCGATGACAAAATCAACGTGTCATACGATTCGGAATGATTATACATATTTACACATTTTAAAAGGTATCAAAACTCATGTAGTTGCAAGGAATTGAAAAGACAACTTATTTAAAAGTACCATCCCTCTTTTAAATGTGAGTGAGATGATTATTGTTGGATATTCAATACTGTATATAGAGAATGTCCTTACTTGATTTTTGAAATTATTTACGATTGTTTTCCAAATACCTGCACGTTGTGACGTCCACGGTGTAGCGCCCTCATCGCTATCAATGGACCAGGCAAGCACATTGGCACACAGCAGCTCTCACCCATATCGGAGGCCAAACAACACTGATGACAGGGAGTGAAGAACAATCCAAGAAGACCTACGAAAACACCAATAACGGTTACATTAAACGCAGGCTTTACTACTTCAGCAAGAAGGGATTAGACCACCCAGCGAGGTCACTGTGACAGGTGGCTATCTCATTAACGCAGCTCTCATTTAACATAAGAAAAAGAGGATCATGGGGGACCAACAAGCACCGATTGGGGAAGTTTTCTATACTGAGGGAGCAAGTAGCTACAAGTAGGACAGTGTGCATTTAAAACAAAAACGCTTATCTCTTTAATATATACATGCCGTGATGCTCCCAATAATGACATTGACGATAATAATTTGTTGATATCATTTTATCTACTCGAGAAATCTACTCGAGAAAAGTAAAATTCAGACAAAGCAAACATAGTACATAATATATGAATAAATCCAACATGGTTTGAAAAAAGAACCACACACACAACATGGACAAACTTTAGATTTTGGGAAGTTTCGTGGGGATTTTTGGAAACATACATTTTTGGAAAGAGATGCATTGAGTAAGACTGTTTAAAAATTTGAACAATATAAGGTCCAATAATGCAGGAGTTGACGGCGTGAAGGGTTGGTTCTCATTATTAGCATATATCCAAGATGAACTACATTAGACCATTGTGATAATTAATTGGACAAAAAAAAAATGTGGACACTAAAAATGGTTGTTTAATTAAAGCACAAGAACCAGAAGAAAGAGAGAGAGAGAGAGAGAGAGAGAGATTTACTAAAAAACCACCAAGACAATGTGGGTTTCAACAAGATATCAAGAAGTGATTTGCTACTTTGATTATTATTTGTAAGCGTATCAGCCCCGGCCGCCCTTCCTATGGTTCAGTACTTAAAGGAGAAGGATGCTAGTACTGTGGATAACCTAACCACAATGCATAACATTGCCGACATGGTGCAACTCTGCAGTGCAGAAATTGTCTTCAGCATGGATATAACATGGAGATCTCTTCTTATATCTCCATGGTTCATCATACTACCAATCATAAATATACATGTAGTATTGAATATTCCAAATGCAATTTTAAATTATCTAAACATAATGGCCAATAATAAGTCTGGAATTTAAATGTTTATTCGGGATATTCATGTTCAAAGACTATTTAGATTCTATGAAACTGTTCTCATAATGTCCCATTATTGAGATGTCAGATCCTTTATAAAGCTCATGTATAATACAATTATTCTACCATGTATTGACTATTCATGCTCAGTCTGGGGATATTGCTCACGGCAAAATAAAGAGTAACCTATATATACACATTTTAGTATGAAATGTTACTTATCATATTCCTTCTACTGCACTAACCCTCTAACGTGCGAAAAATCCTGAAAAAATTCTCAAACCACAAAGTTATTCATGGTTTTCTTTGAAGGCGTCACTGTGCGACACCATCTAACAGTATATTCTCCAAAACCATTTTTGAATTTTCCCAACTGTTTTTCCAGGAAAATAAGGCATAGGACAGGCTTTAAAATTCTTTCAACACTAAAATGTCTGTAATTTTATATAGAGACAATTCATTGCTTTGTGGAATCAATGAGATCAGCTTTCCCCAAATTTTGTCATTAATAATTGTCTGATTTCACTCAAACTCTCAGATTATCTTTAATTGTACACTTAGCATTGAAGTCACTACCTGAGCACCATTTTCTCTCATCTGAACCATGTTACCAAGTCCCTTTAATAAACAATTGTATTTCCATTGATGTACTAAATAACCATTGACACCATGGATGTATATATATATTATTTTTACCCATTGAAAATGTGAGTGTTGTTAATTAATCATGTTGTTGTGGGAGTTGTTGGTGAGTGCTTCTAGTGCTTCTGTGACCATGGTTCAGGTGTCTTGATGATTAATAGTTCAGTTGTGTCTTGTTTCTTATGAGTGTACTTGGTGCGATTCTGATTCTATTGATGCAAGAATTAATTACATCTCATGGTTTCTTAAAACCATAGATATAAATTTAACCGACAATTATCATACAGGGCGTATAAAATACATTGTGTTTAAAGGCTTATATTGGCTATAATCGTACATTCTTCTGCATCATTTCTACAAATAATTGTATTTCAGTCGATAGGACAAACATTATGGGGAGTCCTATCAAACATCACGGAGTGTATGCAATTCGGATTCTGACTATTGGAATACACCTATTCATATATAGCTGGTGAATGAAATCACTTGTAATGAGGCACTTAACAAAGATGTATGCGTTTACTTTGATTACATTACGAAAATGGCCTATCCGAGAAAACAGGATGATAGAGAGATATGCGTAGAGGTCGTATCATTTCCTTTTCTAGTCCAGATTCTGGCCGTTTTTATACATTGTTTATTCTTGAATCATCTATATCCTCCTCCATACTTACACACATCCTTCATAGATCACGTATACCCTCGGAAATACACCCGTCGAGGATAAGAATGAAAGGCAAGGACTGTCTTCAGTTTAGCGTTGAGGGTGCTTTTTTTTTTTTTTAGCTGATTGGACTACTCCTTTTTACGTTGCCTTCTCTCTCTCCCCCCCCCCCCCCCCCCCCCCCCCCCCCCCCCCCCCCCCCTCGTGAATGTGTCACATTATTTGTATACTTACAGATGGGGATATCGTCAAAACACTGGAAGAGATCAGTGCTCCAGGCACGTGGGATACCCCGAGGAGCTAATGGGTTCATATTCACCTGAAACAAATATAATGTAACATCAACAGGTTACAATGTAAAATAAATATTTATAGTGTACAAACTTTATTATTATAATATTAATAATAGTAATGTAAATAATAGGAATAAAGCTAATACAAGTGGCAATAATAATGATAATAATAATAACATAGTAACAATAATAATACTACTAATAATACTAATACTACTACTTCTACTACTACTACTACTACTAACAACAACAATAATAACAATAATTATAATCATAATAATATTAATACTACTAATAGTAATAATAATAATAATAATAATAATAACAATAATAATAATAATAATAATAATAATAATAATAATACTAGTAATAATAATAATAATAATAATAATAACAAAATATATACATATATTCTTTTTTTAGGTCGTGCTATATAAAACAACAATTCAAAGGGAAACATGATTTCTTTGACAATCAACACTTGTGTTTACGTATGTACGTTCAGGCCCTATATTTAGACTTTCACTCATTTATGTTAAACAGTGATTCCATAGGGCTTCGAATACATTCCCCAAATGTTTTCTACTAGTACTATTTCAAGCCAACAGAAGCACATATTGTGTAAATGTGATTTATATACTAGTTTAATCATCTTTATAGGGTTTTCTGTTTTGTAGGTTCAAAATATGCATTTCGAAATAAATTACTACCTTCGGGTGACTACATAATGTTCTTTTTATTGGGGGGGGGGGGCCTAGGTATGCCTAGCTCGGAGAAAAGAAAGAGCCTCGATGTGGAAATTATCTGATATAAAATTATGCGATAAAAAGAACACAAGTGATCTCACGGAAGATTGGTTGGATATGGAAGAAACTGAGATGGAAGAGGGAAAGAAGGACCAAGGATTTCGAGGAAAGATATGATGAAGAAAGAAAGCAGAAGCTTTGTCTGATCATGGACCCAGTACTACGTAGTAGCATGGTCTGATTAGGGAGGATGCTCGAGATGAGAGGAAGTGAAGGGAAGGACTGTTATCTTGGTGCAAAAGTCACTATCCGCTCGTAAGAGGGGAAATAGTGACTTTAATAAATGATAATGATGATGATGATGATGATGATTGTGCACAAAGTGTGTGCGGTCAAGCACTGAATCCAATGACCGGGGTAATAGTATATTTTGTAAAGCGCTTGGAGACATTTGTATTAAGCTTTATATAAAAATAAAATATTATTGTTATTATTATTATGATAATGTTGATGGTGATGATGATGATTGTGATGAAGATGCTGATAATGATGATGATAGTGATAATGATGATGATGATGATGGTGATGATGATGATAATGATGATGATAATGATGATGATGATAATGATGATGGTGATGATGATGATGATGATGCTAATAATGATGATGATGATAGTGATAATGATGATGATAATGATGATGATGATGATGATGATGATGATGATAATTATGATGGTGATGGTGAGGATAATGATGATGGTGATGATGATTATCAAATTCATAAGTACCAACCTCGAAGACTACATTCGTCTGCATAGTAGGTCCTCCTGGTTGGACACCGACTGGTTGGACAGCGATTGGTTGTTGGTTCATGGTGATCTAAGATATGAAATCAAATAAAGGGAATGAGTGTGATTACCAGGACGTCAAAGTATTCAATAATACTTTTACAATTATTATATTGTAAACTGCCACATACTTAATGACTTCATCCAAATTTTCTTCACAGGCAGTTTCTGAAATCACATAGTAAATAAACAACAACAACAATAATCCCCCAATATATATCTACCCTTCCACAGGGTTCATATACATAAACAATAACAGATAGTTTCATTGAGCATTTTTGTCATACAAATATTATATCGGACTTACAACCGTCACATTAAATGATTGACATAACTATGGCGAGATAAATGAGTTGTATTCAAATTGTATTATAAAAGCACCAATAAAAATTCAAAACAGAAACATTTTTCCCGGAAGCTCTTGACAATAATAAGAGCAACAGCAATTATTCTATTAGAAGTAATTAATGTAATAATAGTTTTAAGAGTAAGAATAAATAATAATTATAATGATAATAATAATAATATAAATAATAATAACAACAATAAGAAATTCGACTATTTACAATCATTACAAACAAAATGTACCAAAGCGCTTCCAAAATCAAAGGATGTGAAGAGGAGTACAAAGTCAATTATATTACTTGTACATGTATATCACTGGAGGAAGAAACAAAATTGTATTTTGGAAGCAGCAAGACAGGATATTTGTTGCAAAGCATGCATAGCTCACTCGCCATTAAAATAATGTCCTGATTGAGTTTGAATCGACAGACTAGTGTTTAAGGTTTAGAGGTCACACGCTTTCGCAGGAAAGGGTCACAGACCCAGGCCGTGTCGATCACGCCTCACGTGGAGACACAGTACATTGGTATGTTCTACCATTGACCTAGTATGTCCGTGGTTTTACCAAAGAGATACCAGCAACTGTGGGATTCTGAACTACCTTGTTTTACAGTTTATTGAAACTCGTTTAGAAAAGAAGAATAAAACTCAGATCCGGTTCATAACGTTAGAATTCCAGGAGGCAGAATAAAATGTATTCTTCTCACTGTCCCCCCCCCCCCCCCCCCTCCCCCATACATGCGTAGGCCTACAGTTTTACAATTGGAGAGTGGTGGGGTGGGCATATATAGTTCTAAATTAATGTCAATTTTAAGAGAGAGGAGAAAAAGGGCGATTGGTAAAGAAATATAGGGGTTAAAGAGGCAGTTCATCCTGATATCAATTTGTTTTTAATAGAAGGAGGAAAATGGTAGAAACAGGTGAGTGACAGTTTGATCAAAAATCCGTTAAAAATAAGAATGTTATGAATGTTGAGCGTGCTATCATTCAAGCACACATTGGCAACTCTGTGACGTATCTTACTTTCACCATTAGGTCCATGCTTTCAATATTTTTTGCTCTCAATGTATGCTTTTACAAAAACCAACATAATATCAGGATGGTTGAGAGATAGAGTGAAAGCGAGAGAGAGAGAGAGGGAGATAGCGGAAGGAAAGAGAACGTTTACAATACGTATGCATTACATATTTTGTAAAGAGAATTTCATCATACTGCACTCTTCTTCATCCAATTGACCTCGGTATTACTTCTTGGCTCTGATCTACAAACCGGATGATCAGGAAATATGCACTTCCGAAATAAAAAAAAGCCCATTAGATGGTCATAACATTTGTAATTATTGCAACTGTGTTTCTATCAAAGAATTCTGCCTATTAGGAAGCTGTAAAAATTAGTTTGCATATTTTCAAGTACTGTTTGGTTGATTTTGTCGTATCCGCCATCCAACCCCCTCACTCCCTCTCTCTTATTAATTTGTAGAGGTATTTTATTAATATAAATATTACGTATTCATATTTATCTATGTATTGTATTGGCGACCCCAGCAAAAACCTCGTCATTTTTAGAGAATTGCGCCTCCTCCCTTCATCGTTGTAAAATTACACATGTACTACATGATGTTCATTTTGTTCATAAGAAGGAAATAAAATGTCTATTGAATCGAATTGAAACAAAATGTAATATCATTCAATGACATAATACTTAATTGATATGTTCGCACATGACGGACACGGCTATTAAAAGTACCTCAAGTTGATTTTCGAATTAATTGCGATTATGTTATACATTCAATAGTCTCTTCAAAGTAACTTAATTTCAGAGCACAATGATGGCCTATTTCTTCATGTCGGTCCGTATACCCCAGCCTACAAACGAACTTCAAGATGTCGGTTTTCTTTGCCATAGCGACCCACCATAAGCCTTTACTTTAGGGGCTTTCGCCTCAATTTTTTTTTGTAAATATACATTTCATGATATAGTCATCTGATTATAAGGGGAAAAAATGTTTATTGAATTGAATTGAATTGACGTGTATCAATGGAATAGGTTAAAGCACATTGCATTATATTCATATGTATTATATTACAAGACTTCATTATAAATTGATGAGACAAAATAAGCAACCCTCAAACAGTTTTTGTCAGTATAGGTGAAAGTCGAGCATTTCTGAATTCTTCACATAATTTGGAGGGAAGGAGGGGGGTAGTCCATCTTATATTCAGGCAGCACGGTATCTGTTTACAATGCCTAAACTTCTTTATATTTCGAGAAGAAACAAATACAAATCATATGTCATTTTAATCATTATTGTTCATAGTTTTGTTTGCTCGCAAAATAAGAAAGAAAAAAAAGAATTTTCTGGTTAGTTGATTTGAGAAAGTTATAAGCTACTAAAGCCCGTAAAGAAATTGTGCCCGTCATATATATATATGCATATAATTATGAATATAATTATGAAACCGGTGAGTAGACTATTGGATGACATGGTTAAAGAAGCCTCGTTAGATCATTTTTAGTGGTCCGCATTTTCGCCTCACCTAAAAACATGGGTTTAGTCGTATTTATTGTGCTGAATTCAAATATTAATGTCGTCAAGCGTAAAACCTGCACGTTATCGAGCTAATTACTAAAATATCAAAATATGCAGGAGTATACATATTACAAACAATTTTCTGAATATGAGATGACCCTTTGATTTTGCATATATTCAAGAATTCAAAAATACGTGCCTTTGATTCTTTGACCCTTTGAACATTTTTGAGGTACGCCTAATTGGCTTTTAATTTCAGTTTGTATTGAAGTCCTTTTTGAGGCATGCCATGCATGTTGTGAAGTCTTAGGAACAGATCTTCGGGCACTGATAATACAAAGCAAAAGCAACAACAAAACCAAAAAGAGATCACATACAAGTAACTCCATTATACACAAAGAAACAGGAGTAAGATAGAACAGACAGAAATGAAATAACAATTAATCAAATGCCGAATTAAACAGATATGTTTTAATATTACTTTTAAATACTTTAACTGATCTGCTATAACGAATCTCCCGAGGGAGATTATTCCAATTACGTACTCACCCCCTTCTTAGAATTGATCTTAGGAGCAACAACAAAAAATCGGGATGTTAATTGTATCAAAGTAATATTGTACTGTGGAGCAGAGCGATGAACACTATGAAATAAAAGCAAAAGAAATGTGAAATCAAAGCGTTCACTCAAATTTAAATAAAATATTAGGAATGATAATCATTTCTTTATAATTGAACATGACGTGAATTCTTTGATTTTCCAAGTTCAAATAGCGCTCTGTGCTGGTTATATGAGAGGAAAAGCGTATTGCAACAGGGACCTGTCTCTGCTTGCACAATTATTGGAAATTCACGCGGAACAAGGAAACGGAAATCAAAGATGGCACAAGGTTACAGACACCTGTTGAAATGGGTCGAAATGAAAGGAGCGGGAAAGGAGTAAATAACACACCTCTTTAGTGAGATCCGCTCAGCTCCATAAGGTTCATGATCCCTATTCTTTCACATGAACTTTTTTCCTCCAAACACATCGGATAATTCCTTTCTTGTTCATCATGCATTACATACACAAATATAACAAAACAAATAATTTTGTCTAAATACTGAATTAAATCTCGATTATATATTTAAACGTTTCATCATTCAAAGTATAAAGTATAGGTCTACAGTAAAGTAAGGCTTGTTGAGGTTACGCCCGGAGATATAATAGATCATTCATTATGATCTACTTCTCAAGTTCTCACCAGACTAGTGATATAATTTGGTATCAGTAGCCTTAGTACTACAGGATGATCTACTTTCGATTGGTCTACGCCCACTTCTAATACGAAAATATATCAGTACATCCTTTTAAATTTATTGTATCATTTTACACTTTACAGGGTCTACTTCTTCTAATTAGTAATTACATATCAACTTTTGTTACCAAAATATATCAGATAATAATAATTTTATTGTATCAGAATAACTTCTATTGATAAAAGATATTTATTTTCTTACCCATGTACATATCTACATTTCATACCGAAATATATCTGTCAATTTATATATTTTCATTGTATCAGAATTACTTCTATTGATAAAATATATCTACTTTCATACCTCTACACGGTGGCGGATCCAGGGGGAAAAAACGTGTAAAAACACGTTAATCTTACTTTTTTTTTAGATGCCCCCTTGGCGCTCAAGGGGGGGGGGGGGGGGGGAGATACGATTTTTTCAAATTTTCGAGGGCCCCCAGAAAAATTAGTGCTCACTACCCCCCCCCCCCCCCCCCACTGAGCGAAATATTGGCCGACACGATTTTCAAATTTTAGCACACTAAATTTCAAATTGGTTTCAAATTTGAGCCCCCCCCCCCTAAGAAATCCTGGGTTCGCGCCTGCCTCTACACACCTACTTCTGAAACCAAATTATATCATTCATTTAATTTATAATTTTGTACTGAATCCATCCTTGAATAGAATAATGTAATTAGTTTTGTAAGTAATCAGGAAAAATCTACTCCAGCTATGTAGGTTGACGTGCCACAACATGCGCATGGCAAGACAAAAAAAGAGAAAGAGAGAGAGAGGGGAGGCAATATATATTAAAAAAAAACCCATACAATCCACCCCTCCTACACCACCTTCCTTGCTATGTAGATTTGTTCTCTCGAATTTTGTCCATAATATTTCCGTCGCCATTCCCTGACCCCCCCCCCCTCGTGGATTGCTAAATTCTACGCCCTTGGTACAAGGTTCAGAATACATGTCATCCTACACCTACATACAATAGACAAAGGTACATAATGCGATCTTTGTAACAAGTAGAATTGTGTGGAAGGAGTCAAACTAGAGAAATAGGTTAGTGGAAAAATGAAACAAAAAGGAAAAATTAAGAGGTACATAATGACTGTTTTGAAGGGGAATTCCACCCTGATATCAAAAGAAACCTCACCCAAAGAATAAGTGTAGGTATTCTGGAAAAAAAAAATCCTGCCCCTTGATGTACAATGTACAACAATGTACAACCAGTGACGATGCACCATAATAATAACAATAATAGTGAACATTTATAATGCGCCATGTCTGTCAAAAATGACACTACTGGCGCAGTTGTGTGAAAATGTTATAGCTGTGGGCATACGACCATCAAGCGATTCAATATTGATTAATGTGATTCAATAAAGAAAAAAAGTAAAATACACATAAGTTAAAGCTAACATACTTCAGGACATCATTTTGCACTAATACTTTAATAGAATTACAATATTTGTTTTTCTTTTTAAACCTAAACCATGTGTGAAATAAACACACTATGTGCAATGAGAGTTGTGGTTTTACTATAGATGATATCCACCAAGTTTTCTACAGCAGGATGAACAACCCAAAATGAATTATGGCCATGTTCTCTCGACATACGATTCCCGCACTAGAGCTCAAGATTAGCTTTAAACCATGGACATGCATGCGACTTATATGAGAGAGGTGGACTATTATCATACAAAATATGCGCGGAGTTGAATACTAATAGGTAATGGGCTCAATAAACTTTAGGGGAAGTCTTGTAATGTTTTCATATTTGTAAACGCAGTGCATGAACATAAACATCATTAACTGTAAACATTCTGTCTGATCTCATGTTTCACGCTCTTCAACTTAAAGCAAAATGGACACCCTTGGCTCACAGCGTCATATTAATGGGGCTAACTCTGAGAGCGTGCAGCCTTAACCACACCCAATTTACAACACATCCAACACATTATCATCCAATCTATCCATTCAAGTCTCCTGTCAAAAATAGACACTCCTCAGATTATCAAAAAAGTCATAAGTCATCTCATTTCATCTCTAAATACCTACAAATTCACAAAACAACCAAATTCGAACGAATCTCTTACCCAATGTTGTAAAAGTTTTGACTTGGCGGAGTTGAACAATGGTGCCAATACCAGTGCGTATAGAGATCAGAGCAGTTATGTCGTCGGGGGATGGAAAGTGATATTGAACAGACTTCCCTAAACCAAACCAGCAATCAAACTAGTCTTTATTAACAGCCTCAGTTCCATGTACGAACTACGGCCCTTCTGTGTTTCTGTAATACTGAGGTCCACAAGAATCCACTATATAATACACGCGAACATCAGCCGTTAAAAACTTTAAAAAACTTGACACAATATATATATTTCTAATTTGGGCTTGCAAACTTCCCTTTTCCATATCCCTATACCTCTCTAATAAACAATTTCTTCTTTCTCCCTCTCTCCCTCTCTCCCCTCTCTTTCTCTATATCCAGTTTCTTTCTCTCTCTCTCTCTCTCTCTCTCTCTCTCTCTCTCTGTATGTCTGTGTGTTTGTTTGTTTGTTGTTGTTGTTGTTGTTGTTTTTGTTTTTGTTTTTTTTGGGGGGGGGGGTACATTGACGGTTGTCTATCTTTCGATCATTCACTCGATCCACAGGATTGACAATTTCACTCCTTATACGAAAACTCAAAAAACATCAAACATGATATGGATGGGAATGAAGCCAGATACAAGTACATCTACTAATCCTATTTCTTGACATATTGTCACAGGCATCGGAAGAATAAATGATAACAAATTAAAGATTATCTTGAGTTCTGATAAAACGATATGATACGGCCTATCATAGCATATAGCTCCTAAATCCATAAAGGAATGCACAACTTTAGTGTCGAATCGATCTATATCGACTCGAATTATTCATATCCAACTCTAATTTCTTTATCAAAAAAATCAGAGGCTTTCGCTCAAAACTGTCCGCTGCTTTACTTTGGCAAAATAATGAGCTCATAGTCTGCCAAATTCACTTGACTCTCTGTTGCCAAAATAGTCTACACTTTGCAGTGTCCAGACCCTGCGTTGTTTTGACAAACTAGATTTTATTTAAATGTCTGCATAATCAAATTACGCATAGACACAAAACTTGTTGTATGTAAATGAGATGAACATTATAATCTCGGTACAACTAGTATGACATCCTCTGAAAAATCACAGGGGATATAAACATACCACCGAATACCTGGGGTGGCAATCGCCGGGTGTGGCAAATTTATTTAAAAAAACCAAAAAAAAAAAACGGGCAGTCATTCAACATAATATTCCCGAAGAGGCTTCTTGTATTAAGTTTGTTTAAAAAATATTTATTTATGTATTCATTTTGTCATTTTCTGTTAGATCGAGTCCTTAAATTTATTTGTGATTGAAGACTCAGTATTTGGTATTGTCCTTGATGGGGTAATTTCTCCGAGGGATAATTTTCCGGGGGTGATTGATTGTCGTAATCGATAGTTCGATACTAGTGTACTTATTTGTTAATATTGTTTTCATAAATATTTTTTGTTTGTATTCATTGATTAAATTTCTCAAAGCTGCCAATCTTGTTCGTACATAACATAGTTTATATACAAGTACAACATAATTATAACAAAGCTTTTTTTTTCATTTGATAAACAAACGTACAGGCAACATAATTCATTGATTCATTATTTCACAATGTACAGGACGAAAATATATCACAATCACACAATAGAATTATATTACCGCACTACACAGTTATTTCCAGGTTATTTCAACCCAAAGCCAGAACAAAACAGTGTTTTTTTCAGAAAAAGAATAGACCTAGGCTACTTTAAAAAAAAATATATACAAAAAAAAGAAGGAATTTAATATATCTAAATATTATTATAGAGAATTAAATTTTTCAGTTTTTCTTTTATTAAAACACGAACTATCCCGAGACCGGCCGTCTCCCTTCCCATCCCCATTGCCCCCCCCCCCCCCCCCCCCCTCTTAACCCCTCCCCCTATTAGGTTCATGCCCTACCCCCTCCCCGATCCCCCTCCCTCAGCTCAGCTCAGGGTCCGGACTCCTCCCATTGTTGATCACCGATCGATCGCTACGCGTGCGGAGCTGATGCACAAGCCAGAGCGGAGAAAGTAATTATCTGGTAAGTTTGTCTGATTACTACAAAATGGTATTATTATGAACTTGGGAAAGAGTTCCTGAACTTGATATGAACTCAGATAATGATATTGAAGGTGTAGCCTTATTTTTCCTGTAATTATTAGTTGTTTAATATTAAATTGTGTAAACACTCGAATGAAGAATGCCCGATATTACTACGTGTGTCCCACGTATTTATTCTTGCGTAAGTAACCTTAGAATCAAGATATTCTCTTCTATCGTGGGTCAGATTTGCAGTTTAATTTTCTAATTTTAACAATATTTAAATTATTCTTTAGGCCTACCAGTACCCAGTTCATCAACCCAAAATGGTACACCAGGTAAATTTATGGGCCCTGTTGCATAAAACTAGGTCTACAATTCCATAGTAGAAATCGTGATTTGAAATTTTGATTGGCTGTTGAGTAATGTTGCCATGGAAGTTAAATTTTGATGGCAAAGTTACCATCAGAGGCACTCCAGCAAAGCATAGAGATTCAATGCTAATGCGTATTGACCTCTAGCTCTGCACTAAATTAAATACATGAATAGATGTAGAGTCTAGTCAATATACTCACAACACACAAATGCACACAATCATGCCGATGCAGCTGATCGGCATGTTTGACAGTAGACTCACAATTTGAATTTTTAAATTATTCTTTTTAACATCAGTAAGTTGAAACAATTGTATTTTACTGCTATTTAGGTGTCATCAATTGTCACTAAAGTACCGATTTTGGGTGAAATCAGTTGAGTTCTGTACGGTGGTGTTTGAAATTTTGAGAATCAATAGCACAGCTTTTAATACACAGCCAGGATAGTAATGCAGCTATGTGTGCATCAGAGGCAGGTTGTTTGCAATGGTGTCAAGGTTTGTAAATTGGCAGTATAAACTATTTCTTTGCATCTTCTTACTCTTTCAGGCTAACAATTGCTAGAGTAGAAGAAAGCAATGGAGAGATCATTATGTAACATCAGTGTAGGAGACAAGGTGTACTTCTTGAGTTCCAGTATCACATCTGAACAGAATGATCCAGAGTTCAGAGTTACTCTCATTGAAGCAAGCTGCCTGAAAGCATGGAAAGGCACATGTAAGTAAACCTTGAACCAATCAACTGAAACAAATAATTTGGTAAAAATTCAGCTTTGTGTGTGATGGCTCTAAGAGAGGCACAATGGCTCAGTGGTTTTATAATTGGGAAGTCCCAGACAGGAAACCAATAGACCAGCTCACGGTTAGCACATGTCCCAAATGACCCTGAATATCCAAAGATCTTCAAAACATGAAGAGGTCCCACTTTGTACATTTTGAAATAATCACTCCTACAGCGATTGAGGTGCTACATAAATAGCCATTGTTTCCCCTTTTCAAAGTATACTTCCACCTGTGTATCATGGAGTGCACTGCTTACATGCATAAATGAATATTGATTGCGTATCTTTCATTAGCACGTATCCAGTATTTTGTCTCTGTGCATTTCACAATTTGTTCTGCAATTACGTTTATCTGCTCATGCTCAGACTGCAACCGTGAACTGGCTTATTCAGTACACTAGTGCCCTTTGGTAAGGCATTACTCCTCATTAAGTCCCAAGGAGAGGACTTAAAGCCGTCTATCCCCTGATTGCTTATTTGCTTGTGAGATATTTGGAAGGTTAAGCATGGTAATCTTCCCCTGTATCGTTCCAATCTTAGTAGTCGGGTAAAACAAACAAACAAACCAACTTTCAGCTTCAAGAAACTTTACCTGGCTTTCTATATGCTGATGGTTAAGGAGTCTCTCAGTAAGCAGAAATGAATATATAATATAATGGCCTGCGCACTGAACCAAATTGTTATTTGTGTTCCTATTATACCCACCCTATTCTATGTGAGCATGTTCGATTGGGTCGACTAGTCAACTCAACACATTGTTTTTAGATTTACTGAGAGTATATAAAGTGCAATATCTCTGCAGAAGTAAGATATGAAGTTCATATTTTGAGTACTTAATAGCGACATGGAACCCCTTACATTAAGACTTCTCACACTATATAAGATGAACAATGTAAATTAAGTAAGCTGCATATATGAAAATGGAGAGGGGGGGGGGCAGCTTTACAAAACTAATAATAATTCCAAAAAAAAGATTACCAATGGGGAGAGACCAAATGTCTGGTTAAAAAGAAAAGTATACCGGGGTATTATTGGGAAGATTGGATATATGTGCATGAAAGGATCCAAGGTCAAGCACCCTCAAAACATACCTTGAATACTTTCAACAAGATTGGTTATATGTGCAATACACATGTTATTTAAATTTACTTTTTTTTTTCTTTGTAGTTGGTGACATACAGGAGAATGCAAAGTGCATTGACCTACAGGAAGATGAATTGGTTGATCTTACACGTAAGGCGCTGACCAGACAGAACATGGGTGATATTAACTTTGAGTACCAGGTGAGCTAACAGAGAGAGAGAGAGGAGGATTGGGGGGGGGGGGGTGTGGAGGAAGGAGGAAGAGAAATGGAGTGTGTGTGTGAGAGAGAGAGAGAGAGAGAGATGGAGGAGGTCGGGAGAGAAAAAGTGCATGAAAGAGAGAGACAGAGAGAGAGAGAGAGGGCGTGTTCACACCGCAAGGGGGGAACGTGGGCGGACTGTCGATCGCCAACAATGGTCCGCCCGTTGGCATTCGCCGGATTCACACCGCAGTGAGATAGCGCGGTCTATCGTAGCACCCCCTTTTTTGAGAGGTCTGTTAAAGATAGTACTGTTTAATTTTCAAATTTCTTGGGTGTATATCTAGCTCAATAATCAATTTTCCGGAAATCTTAACGATTTTGTTATTATTTCTTAAACCCTTCTATTGCATTTGTTCAGTTATCTTATAAATATCCGCCTTTATTTTTTTTTTTTTTCACCAGGTCTCGTCAAAGAAAAATAAAGTTGAGTTGTCATGGAAGAAGGTGGTTTCATCTGTCAAGGTAACATCCCCCTAATCCATATCTAGCAGCCTAATGCACACTACGATCCTCCTGTGATCCCAATCTTGAAGAAATGGCAATTATATTAGATATGGAAATTGAACAAAAATCATCATCCTGAATTAGGTTGTAAATGATTATGGTGCCATTAAGCCTTCTAAGTCAGAATAAATGCCAGATTAGCTTCAAATCCTAGACAATCACACTACTGGTCTAACGTCACAACGATTCTGAGCTAATTCAACTTTTCCTCCTCCAAGGTTATCATCATTCACTAAACATTAATTCAGAATAAGATCAAAGCAGGATGTAGTCCGTTTCAAATTGCTTACCGGTCATCTTTAAAAAAATTGATATTCCTGTAAAGGCATAATAAATACACAAATACATGTAACCCTACAAAAACAAGTGGCATGAATCGTCGAGGGGGACATTTACTAGAATAGGAAAATATATTTGTTGAGAAATGTTTTAAATTAAACTGATGTGACACAATTATTTTCCAGAATATTCAAGATCTTAGCTCCTTGATACACAAACGTCTTTTACCACAATTTTTTTCTGCACGTTATTTTTTTTATATTTTTTTTTACTATGGTTGGATCTTCTTAATTCTTAATATATTTGAATTCTCAGTTTCAAGTAGGTAAGGTTTCGCTAGATGCAGTGAGCTCGTCCCAAGAGACCATCCAAGATACCCTGCTTCATTCCATTGAGACCATCACAGACTTGAAGGGCTCCATCTATAGGCTGGAATCAGAGAATGATCGTCTTTCCAATGAGAGGAAACAAGCTTTGACGGTAAATGCTTGCATTCATGTACAAATTCTGTATTTACAACAGAAGAAATCTTACTAGACTTATTAGACTAGAATAACACTAGAGGTGTTGTGGTCCCGTAGATAGGTCTCTTTACTGTGAACCACAATGTATGGGGTTCAAATCCCTACCACAACACTAACGTCCTTTGGCAAGACATTAATCTACATTTGCCACACTCCACCTAATTGAGGTTAATGGGTACCTGGTTCGATTAATTCCTTGAAATGCACTGTGTGCTGATTACCGCTGTCGCAGCTTAATCTAGGGTAATAATTCCAAAGCTCTTTGGAAGCGCATATGGACGTTTTATCATAATATGTTATGGGCTTCACGCGAACGGATTAGTATTATTACACTAGAAGAGTTGTCATAGTGTAGCTTTGTTAACCCATAGCTTACTGGTACCTGGTGGTCCCTGTATGAAGTCTATGTGAGTGAGAGTATTCAGTAGCTAATGGACTGCATTTGGACTGTGACCTTAATGTGGGTCTTCATTTTTTTTTTTTGGGGGGGGGGGGGGGGCTGGAGACGTTATATATTGCCCTTGATGAAACCTTTGAAATTAAAAAAGTAAGGTAAAGAATTTGAAATTCTGTGAACAGCATTGGCCATAATAGTCATTTAGGGATCACAGAAATAAAGAAACAATATATAGGCCTAAAATTTAAGCTCTCTTTTTTTATTTTCATGAATTAATAGATCTGAACAATCAGCGTGCAGGAAATTTGGAATCTAGTTTGGCAACTTAGATCTCAAAAAGTTAGATCTCAAAAGGGGGAGAGGTTATATTTTGTTGGCTACTATTCCATTTATGTTTCACTTACTGTCACTGCAAGACTCTTAGTCACTAGATTTACCTAGAGAGTAATGAAACTAGGTAAATGAAACAAATAGCCAAACATTTTTGGAATGCAGATAATTAGCAATTGGACCCCAGCAAATTGTGTGTGTATTAAAGACATATATTTCTCAACGTCTGGGAATCGACCTGTAACGTCTCCATTCGGAAGACGTGACTCGGTTTTGATCCGGGTTCCCTCTGAGTCTGTCTGTAGGTGAAAACAGAGGGCTGGACAAGTGAATATATTGCTAGACCAACTCATATCTCCCCTTGTATTCTGTACAGGTTAGCTGCAAGGCTGTGGCACATATTCTCCAATAAAAGAAATCATTATCATTACATTTTCTTCTTCATGCATGTACCATGATACCTAAAAATCAAATTTCATTGCACTTATTCCTTTGTTTTACAGAGACTAGAAAAGTGTGTAGTACAGAAAGAAGAGATGGAAGGTGATCTTTATGGAAAGGTAATTAGATCATATTTCATGCTTTCCTCCATCCAATGTGATGACAGGGGTGTCATGATTTGTTTTGTAATTAAGGGGGCCAGTCTGACAACAACAACAAAACTTCTCAATTATTGTTTTCAGTGCTTAAGTTTGTGTCTCCTTAGATCAAGATAGTTATGTTAAGTTCCTTAATTAAGAGTAAATTAACTAAATTAAGTTCTTCCATCACCCAATTGCTGCAATGCCCGTTTCATTAACAAGGGCCAGGTCGTCATCTGTGCAACCCGTTCCGCCACACTGCAAGATGTTGTCCATCGTCTGAGTCTCTCAGCAGTCGCAGAGAGTATCTCCTTCAGTGCTTAAGTGATAACTTGATATATGCTCTTAAACATTCAATTGCTGTTTTCATGATATATGTAGTATTTGATTGTATTTTAGGGCAAAGAAAATATCAGGTAAGCCAATAATCAGACCGGAAGTGAATAATTTTGAATAATTTTGATCCAAAATTATTTTTAAAAACAGTCAAAATTGACAACTTTTTAGTGTTGCAATGGACCTCAGGATGCAACTGACTGGATGCTAATGTGTTTGCTGCCACCTATTGGCCTAGTAGGGTTATGGCATCTGTATTCATGCTAAGATAACTGCCTCTATGAAGGCACTCTAGTGCAACTGCACTCGCGATTGCAGGTCAATTTATCCCATTTTGGATCAAATTTATTGTTGGAAACTGTCATGATTTGTTTTGTAAATAATCTTCAGAGACTGGACGGTTACATCTAGTATACCACATGCCCATGGGATGACAGACAGAGAAAGAGAAGATGAAGGAGAAGAACAAAGGAGAAAAACCGAAGAAGAAGCAGAAGGAGTAGGAGGAGGAGGAGGGGGGGGGGGGAGAGGAATGGGAAGGGGAAGGGGAAGGGGAAGGGGAAGAGGAGGAAGAGGGAGAAGGAGAGGAAGGAGAAGAAGAAGTTGGCTTTTCAACTTATCTGTTTATATGTTTCTTCCTCATTAGTTTGCAGTCATAGTAAATGAGAAGAAAGCAAAGATAAGAGAGCTGAAGGATAGACCCTTGGGTGAGTTTCTTTATTTCATATCTTTTTGTTTTTAAAATTATATATTGGTTTAAAACATAGAGCATGTTTGATGAAAATCAAGGGCTTGAAAGTAGATTTTCTTGACTTTCTATTTGGTGGATACACCTGTGAGGGGAGAGCACAGTTCCATGAAGAAAAAATCCTGCAGTGTGTCTGCATTATTGGAAAGAACATATTAAACGTTAAAAATGTATCTAAATTGCATGTAAAATTATATGGTAGCGTAGTTATCTATTGAAGGTTAGATGTTTTGATATTCATAAAACCTAAAATATGGATTAATTTGTTATCTGGTTAGGAAATTGGTCTGCAATGAGTTATAAAAGTTGTATAGAAAAGGCTATGACCAATTGGCCGGTTTACTATATATTCAAATAATATAATATTCAAATTAATGGATGTCTCTTTTCTGGGGACCTAGTGACATTGTTTTCCATTAACCTGTTATTTATGAATGAACTACAGTACTTGAAATCAAGTCTGCATACACTACTTTTTGCTATGTCAGACATGCCTCGGCAAGCTTTAGGTTGTCATGAAGTACCTTTCTTTATGCTGTATGCATACAATTTGAATATGTAAGTAAACCAGTCTAAATCGGCCAATGTTATTATATAAAGCATAATCAATGTTTTTCAATAGCTGCTAGTATCCATGGTGACAGTGACAGTCATAGAAGTGAAGCGATGAAGCGTGACAGCGATGATGCAATGGATTTAGGAGATGATGATACTGATGAAGAGAGACAGGTAAGAGAGGGCTGTCAGTTTGAGGGAGCACTGCCATCATGAGGGTAGGGGGGTTGGGGAGTTGGGAAGGGGGACGGTAGGTTTTAGTCTGTAGATGAAATTCAAATTAGCTCAGCCTCCGATTGAAAATGGATAATAAATGATGGATGATCTATTTCTTTGTGTCTGCAAAACATGGAAATACGTTTTTCACCTTTATAATAAGGTTCATAAGATTAGAGTGCGGACCGTTATCTTCTTTCCACGTCCCCTCTCTTCTCTTTCTTTTTTATATGGTATTAAATTGTCTTTTCACTGTAGTAGACTTATCAGAGATAAGACCAAATAAGAAATTAGCCTAAATAGTAATTAGACCAAATGATAAGTAGACAAAATTATTATTATTAACAATGTTAAAACTGAGATCATGGCCCTATGTGCTATCGGTGTCTGTGATATGGAGGCTGTTCACACCGGCAGAGATAGGCAGTCTAGCGCGCGCTAGACCGCGCTATATCTGCGGTGCGGAAGGTACAACGTCGTTTCGGCCCACCCAACAGCGAGCCACGGCGAGCCAAACAGCGTACCACTGGAGCACCTCTTGGGGGTGGTCCACGAGAGATAGCGCGGTCTGGCACGCGCTAGACTGCGCTATCTCTGCCGGTGTGAACAGCCTCCAGATCACAGCATGCCGGAAGTCATCGTTCTGCACGTGGGGAATTTTATACTCATTCTATTTTGGTGCGATCTGAATCTGAATCGGTACAACTCAACACTTTGGGTTCGTAATAGCGCGCAAAATCTTTGACCGCTCTGACCTCATGACGTCACGCGTCATGGCAACAGGACCTCCCAAAAAAGGGGGTGCTACGATAGACTGCGCTGTGGATCCGGTGAATGCCAATGGGCGGACCGTGGGTCGCGCTACGATAGCGCGATCCACGGTCCGCCCACGGTCCCCCCTTGCGGTGTGAACACGCCCTTGGTGTATTATTAACCGTATCAGACATCTGAGCAGGGCAATTGTTAAATGTTATTGCCCTCACGGTTTGATGGATAAGCCAACAAAACTACAATATTATTGACCGCTCAGAAAAGTCAATGGGATTTTGTGTGTAATTTGCCAGTCAATACTGTTATACAGTAATGAACAAATATTTTAGCCCGATCTGAAAAGTCAATGGCAAAATGTGTGTTAAACTAGTGAGCAATAATATAGAGCCAGTTGTAATTTACATCGCACATCAGCTACTGTAATTTACGCATCACCTACTGTAATTTACATCGCGCATCGCGTATAAGAAAATGCGCACTTTGCGCGCACTCTATTGTGACGTAACAATCACACCCTAGGCACACTGTTTGCAGTGTATCGAAAATCTGTCAAACACTGGATTCACATTGCTGGTTTGACAATGTTTTTGCAACTTCTAATGCTAGGAAACCCTATGTAGCCTACATAATTTAAGAGTATAAGATAGTAAGAGTTTCTTGTTTGCTCTAGATGTCTGATGTGGTTAATAATAGTAATATTGACTGCCTAATTCAGGGCAATACGACTTGTCATATATCACCCTCACCTTTGGTTCGGGCGATATATGTTGTATTGCCCAGAAGGCAGTCAATATTACTTAAATATTGAAGCCCTAAAAAAATTGCGCTTCAAATAAGTAAAAATCTTTGAATGACCGGTTTTACCATACTCTCTCCAATAGACTGTAGTGTAATAAAAACTGTTAGGAAAACTGAAATTTGATTTCGATTTCCAATCTTAAGTGTATTACGACAATCAAATAGGCGATCGGCTTGTAAAAGTCATGGGGTTCCTGACTGACCTAATTGTTTATAATTATCATCACAGCATGAGCTAAATCCAGGATTTTGTTTCATAATCTGAGACAATGTTACCGAGTCACATTAAACCATGTGGATAGTAGACAGGCTGGATGTAGACCATATGGGAATAGACCAATTGGAGAAGTAGATGAACTGGTTCTGATTTTCATCCACAGAGAGAGGAATCCTTACGGAAGAAGCAGAAGAAGACTACAGCGCCCTCTCAGACCAGAACAAAACGGTCAGATGATTCGGTTACATTTGATGAGGAGTTACCTGAAGACACAACCAGCAAAGCAAGGTAGTGACTTAGCCGATGTATATTTTTAAAGGGGACATCCACCCTGATATCAATTGGTTTTAGTAAAAGCAGAACAAGAGAGAAACAAATTAGTGAAAGTTTGAGCAAAATCTGATTAAAGATAAGAAAATTATGTATATTTGAAGCGAGCTCCTCTCCAATTTGTTCCGTACTGAAAATTTCATAAACTTTAATTTTCTTAGTTATTGATGGTGGAATAGATTTGTTTTATACTGGGGTTATATCAAATGACTGAATATTTTCCAAAGGTCAAATATAGATTTTTTGGAAGTTTTTAATCCTGGGCAAATGGGAGGGGACCTCTCAGGAGACGCCACAGAATTGCCAATTTGTGTTGATTGGTTGCGCCTTCAAAAAGTCATAGCTTTCTTATTTTTAATGTTTGTTTTTTTGCTCAAATTTCACCGACCAATTTCTCTTATTTGTTCTGCTTTTATTAAAAAGCAACCTACTATATCAGGGTGGACTTGGCTTTTAAATTTCAGGACCATCTAAACTAAGCCCCCCAAAGTTTCCCCCCCCCCCCCACATGACCTCCAATCTATATCCCAAACTTTAATGATTTTATCCTATGTCCATGTATCTGTTGATTTCATTGTTTTTTCTCTACTAATAGTTGAAACATGAGGCCACTTTAAAAGCAATCCGTTTAATTAAGTATAGGTACTTTCGACTGAAGGATAAGACAGGAGGAGAAATAAACAAACTATTTTGAAAAACGTAGACGAGTTCTCAATCTGATCTTAATTGCGGTCTGAGGATGATTGCTGACTTGATTTTATCATTCCCAACGCCTTAGATGCAGGTGCGGCCCGGTTACCGTATAAAATGGGTTAAGGAAAAAGATTGAATAGAGGATGATAAGTAAACTGTCAGTAAAACCTTGGCTATTGGTTGGAAAATGAGAATACTATTTTGTCTTAATTTTTAGGAGGAGAAGAAGAGAGCCAACGTCTAGAAAGACCGCTACGTCAGAGAAACCTGCCATCCCTAAAGTGCCTTCTTCAGGGTAAGACATTCCTTTCTTATAGAGAGTGGGTTGTCAGTTTCCATGTGCAGAAGGCTAGAATTCGCTGAGACCAGACTTGATGGAAATACCATTAATGTGTGCACAAGTCTGCACACAGCAAACCCTTAGGCCAATCAAGAAATACCCCCCTTGTCTCTCAAAGTGTTTTCAGGGGAGGGAAAAGTCGAAGCATTACATAAGGCGTGCTGGTTAGGCTAATCCTGGTGATTGACAACACCTGTTATTGGGTAAGCACCCGGACAGTATCAAATTTATTTTTACAGGGTAGCATTTTCAGATACAAAACTGCTTTTCACAATGTCCCTTTTAACCTGGATTAAATATATATATGTGCATAGAAGAAAAAAAAATCAAGATTTATGCTCAGACTTCAAAACGAAATATAGTGAAGATTCATATTAGGAGGATTTTTAAAACAAATTTTCGCCCTTGGAGCTTTGTCAAGTAAAGATTTGATTTGACTTTGAAAATATTATCATCATATTTTACATGTATATATTTTTATTGTCGTATATTCATATATATATATATATATATGCATATCAAGCAAACAATTTGAACAAGACAACTGACACATTGTTTTTGGTAGGGCACTACTGTTTCTTTTCATTACATAAAAATCTTCTTGAGATGAGTTCATTTGCCATGTGTAGTAGAAGATCTCATACCCACATTACATGGACATGATCATATTTGTTGCCCAAACCTCATGGAATAACCCTTATGTAACACTTGACATCTGAATATAGACATGAAATAAAATCTTTCTAGAAATCAAATTTGAGATTCATATTAACCACCGTGCTGATGCTTTATGGATTAATAAGTGACAAAATAAAAGTGTTACAATGGATCAAAAATGAGCCTGACAAAGACAATACAAAAGCACCATTCATGCAAGATCATAAACTGCAGCATTGTCTGTTCATTGGACTGTGTAAATCTTACATTCACTATGTTTATAGTACAAGCATACATTAAGCTCTCCCTTTCTGTGTTTGTTTATAGGACTCCTTCAACATCAAGGACACCCTCTATGAGGAAAACTCCATCGCGAGAGAAGAGTCAGACAGAGACTGATAATGTAGATGATCTCTTAGATCAATTCTGAACAAGAAACTGAATATATTAATAGATACAACTCATTATTTGTAAAGAAAAGATGGAGTTCTTGTAAAAATGAGGGTTTTTTTCCCCTCTTTTTATGGAGGGAGCTCAGTTTGAAAGAATATCATAAAAGGTATCTTTCTACAAATGTCCCCTGAAAATGATATCTCTTCACATTCAAATGACCTAATATTTAAATAAGACATGAAATAGCTGAAAATTCTGGACCAAACTTTTGTGGTACATGTGTAATTGTCCCATATACTCATTTTTATGTGCAGTGCATGTGATCTTTATCAGTTTTATATCACATTGCTCTTTTCAGACCCTTGCAATATACATGTACATAAACTCTTACATGCTTTTTCATAATGTGATCAAATTTAATGCACAAATCTTTGTTAAGTGCCTCATTTGAAATGATTTATTTCACCTGTTATGAATAATTGTATTTCAATTGATGCTATGTAGGACAAACATTGTGGCTGGTCCTTACCTTACACAAAGTAATACATGCAATTTGTTTGTAACAGGTGAATGAAATAATTAGTAACGATGTACATGTACTTAACAACAATTTGTGCATTAATTTGATTACAGTACGAAAATGGCCATTCTAGTTGTTGGCAGGTTCTTTCGTAATGTAATCACAAGACCAGTACTCAGATTTATCTTTAAAGGAAAGATTGTAGCAGGGAACCTTGAAAAGTGATATTGCAATTATCCAGCTAGTCTTGTTTCGTCTTGTTTGTAACCATTTCACTTAATCCAAAGTGGTCTTTAACTATTAATAAGGAACGATCTAGTTTCTGTAAATTCCATGTATTCCATGTATATTTGTTGTCATAGAATCATATATAAAATAGTTTTGCCCTATACCTAGATACGCCACAGTCATTTCTGGTATTACTGTTACTCACTTTGGGAAAATTAAAGCAGTAAAAGCATGTTTTGAACAGTAAAATATGTACAAAACATATTTTTTGTTTAATTAATCAAAAACCCTGAAACCCTGAAACAAATATATTTTCCCTTTAGTAATTTCCATGTCCTCTATATTTGTTGTCGTAAATATGATCAAATAGAGTGGGGCCAGCAAAATGACTGTGTTTTAATGAGAGTTTTGTATAGCAGTGTTCATTATAATACATGTAGTAGTGGAAGGGAAGTCATAGTCTGTCGAGTGAGTAATACATGTATTAGCGAGGAAATGTCCTTGAGCCAGGTATTCTTATTCTACCTACATTGCTACTCTCCTCTTAGGTGTTGAATGGGTACCCGGTACGATGCAAATGTCATTGTAGTTGGATTAGCATGTGCACTCATGTAAAAATGCAACTAGCCGTAATGCTCCTCAGGGAGTGGAGAATGTGTACTGTAATGTACAGAATAGTAATGATCTCAGTGACAAAGTAAGAATAATACTCAAAGCGCTTTGGTAAATTAATGGTAAAGCACTTTGTAAAGAAACTACATGTAATAGTAAACACTCATCAAAAAACTTGGTTCCCAAAAGACTTTTTAATATAACTCAAGAATTTTTGGTCAAATTTGATCATTTAGGAAGTAATGTAAGCAGGATTTTCCTTCTAAGGTTTCGAGTAACTATTTCTACTTGATTGATAATGGTTTCATTATAAAATTATATTTTTTTGCATGCTCAAAAGAGTATTTTAAAAATCGTGTAAATAGCCATATACCACAAGCTGAATTTCGGCTACGTGTGGTTGACGAAATACTCATCATTCATGTCCCCTTTAATTACTAGAACATATATAAATAAGTATAAAGACCCTTGTACACACAGATTGATCATGACACTTTTTGTATGCACCTTTGCAGCTGTGGAAGTGTGTCATTCAATGTGATGATGTTGATAAAGGTGCCCCATAAAATAATGCTCTTTGAGATAACAGTTACTTCATCATACAATCAATTGCAGTTCATTTTCTTTGTAGCTGATTTGTCAAACATTTTTGTAAATGTTAGTAAAGAAGTTTATATCAATAAAGAGTTTTTTATACGAAATATCGCATAGTTTGTATGTTGTATAATTATATCTTTATGGATGTACATTTTAATGCATATAAGGACAATTACCCCCCCCCCCCCCCCCACTCCTGCCCGGAGGAAGACCGAGGACAATCATCCCCGGGGACAATTCCCCCTCCCCCCCCCCCCTGTTCGTTAAAGGTACTATGTCCCATTTGCAGGCCAAAAAGTGAAAAGCTTAAATCGACTTTAGGGATTGCAATCCTTAAATTAAATACTCTTATTTTCAGACCCTTGTACCGAATGGTGTACGTTTTGTGCTGCTCAAAGGTTCACTCAGTCAGTTTACTCGATAATGTTTGACAGTGAAGTCTAGAAAGTAAACATTTCTTTGCAAAATTTTAATTTGACAGTGCTAACGTTTACATCTTACAGATAAACCATACGTGACATATTCATTACTCCTGCAAAGTTCTACGGAATTTGATGTTGGCTGCAAATGGGACAGTATCAATGAAGGGAAGTCCAGCCTGGAAATAAATTGGTTTTAATTAAGATTTATCTTCTATAGTAGCCTGATTTGCTCCAAATTTACTGGACCGAATTATTCCATAAAATACGCTATAAAACTTGATATGCCTAGAGGCCGATAAAAATGTATTATTATTAGGTGAAGGGATCATATAAATACCAAGCTATACGCTCACAAACAATGACACCCAAAGCCATTAAATGTGTGTGCGCAAGCATAATACCACGTATGTATTGTAATTCGTATAACTGCACTGTACAGGGGCGTCGCTAAGGGGGGGGGGTGTGAGGGGTGCGACACCCCCTACCTGTCGGGATATTGTCGCTAAAATTGCGATGCCGTCGGGAAAAATGAGAGAGAAAAAAAACGGGGGATGAAAGAGAGGAGAGAAAGGGGGTAAGAGCCTGAGAGAGGAGGGGTGGCAGTAAAAGAGAGGGGGTTGTTGGATGGAGTCGTCTGGTCGAGGGAGCAAGAAAGATACGCATAGATTATGTTGCTGCAGTGTCGGTATTCTTGCTCGATCCTCTTGTACTATATTAATGCAGAAGTTTGAAGACGGTTAGATGTATAAGGGTTTGCTCCCTTAGCCTTAGATCCGAAAGATAACCTGAACCACAAGCAGGGGCGGACGAAATGTGAGGGACGAGGGATCAGTGGCGTAATGAGAAAAAAAAAAAAAAATCGTTTTTTTTTTTTTTTTTTTTTTTTTTTGGGGGGGGGGGGGGGGCAGAAAAAAAATCCGCATCACCATCACTCTTAAATGCTATGCAGGCACTGGGAACGTTTTTCGAAGTGGAGGGGGGGGGGGGCTAAAGTATTTACGCTCAGGTAGCGCAAAGCAAAGCAAAGTGGAGTGTAAATTGACGTGGGGTCCAGTGGCAAAGCCCCGGCGGAGCCCCATGAAGCTTAGGGGTTCTGGGCATTTATTTACGGTCAGGTGAGCATATTTTGATACCTTATTTGTGACACTGGCATGCAGGTCACTAATTGGAGCGAGATCCAGGGGCGCGCCAAAAAGCTCAGGGAAAAAAATCATGCCATTTCAGCAACATTTGTAAATCACTAGTATCGAATTTGAAATAAACCATGATTGAAGTTCATTTTTTTTTTTTTTTTTTTTTTTTTTTTTTTGGGGGGGGGGGGGAGGAGGACTGCCCCTAAAGCCCCCCATCAGTATGAAGGTGCGATCGAGGGAGCAATAGTGAATGTGAGGGGTGCAGGTGACAGGATTGACTACCCCCTCACAGGTTTTTGAAGTTTTGTTGTATTAAAAAATTACAGTCCTTAGCAAAACTAAAGTATAAAAACAAGCAATATACTTTTTTCACACTTCACTTTTCTCGGTATTCCTGTACATTTTGAAAGATATTATAAAAGGGAGCGTAGCCACCGAGTGAGAAGATTTTTGCATTTTATTTGTCTAAACGCTACACTCTTAAGCCCTCCAAAGCCTAAACGTGTGTTGTAGTCTTTAGTCAGTATTTGCTGTACATTTTTGTTGTTGCACTTTTTCAAATTTTCCCTAAAAAAAAATCGAGGGGGGGGGGGGGACGTGTCCCCCCGCCCCCGGGATTACCACCTCTGATCACAAGGCAATGGTTACAACTATGTTTGGCAATAAAAATTGACATTTATCAAAAGAATGAGGTGATTTATCGTAGAGGTGTTGTGGCCGTGAACTGCGGAGATTGGACGGTCATCCCCTTTCCTAACGATTCCGAACCATTCCTAACCATTCCTAACCATTCCTAACGATTCCTAACCTTTCCTAACACTTTCCTAACACTTTCCGAACAATTCCTAACACTTTCCGAACTTCCCTACAAAGTGAGCATGCGCAGAAACTTTTACGACCACCCCGCATCCCGCATCCCGACTGTGATGGTACTTGCACTGAACGTGGTACTTGCACTGAGATCATCGGAGCTGAGTTGGATGTTCAATGACCGCTGGTCTTCGCCTTCAATCACGAACTTCGTAGATATCTAACGATTAAGGTAATTGTCCATATTTAAAGTTTATCGACTCAATTTTGTACAAATAATGTTACTGTTTATGAAGTAAACATGGTGTACGGCGCGGTAGGTGATTCGCCCAGTACCAATGCCGAGCTGCCTCGATCCCCACCCCGGGCGCAGCGAGAGCTGCTATCGGCAGGTGCCCTGCGCTGACCGCCTATTGAATCGGTATAAACTCGTCAAAAAGTTCAGCAATTCAAGTTTGAGCGTTTATATATTTTGTGTAACTATAATATCCTAGTTGAATTTGGTACCATTGAAAAGCCTGGCTATTCCTCTTTATGTTGATGCCCCTCTTTGTTATGATTTTCATAAAATGATGGGATATGTGCAGTGCGCAGTACGTCCAATTAATTAGCTAGGCCTACTAATGTTGCATTGTTATTGTGAATTCTCCATTTATAGAGCCTAATAGAGGATGGATTATGTTTTAAGTGATGAGGTGGTGATGTCAGTGGTGTATTCTCATTTTCTTTGGAAGATGAAATTTGTTTTGAATGAAATTGAGGTGGTTATTGTAGCATTCTTCATCTAAAGTCCGAAGAATGACAGAGGCCGAGCATTCAGCTGACCATGCGGCCTGCATCTAGACTTTCTACAGTTTATCAGTATGAAACAAAGGAATGATTGACATATGTCTTCCTACTAGCTAACAAGGTGGTTCTCTTACTTCCTGGCCCAGTATACCTAATCTAAATCCTAATTATAAGTGTGTCAATAATAGCAAACTTAGTTTATTTGGTCGCAAACCTACAGTAGTCAGCATGGCTTGCTTAGTTGCTTGTCAATCAAGACACTACAGTTATGAATGCAATGTCAATGCAATGATTTCTTTTCTTCTGTTTAATTTAGTCTTTAGAAGATGAAATGTGTTTGAATGATTGATGTTTTTTGTTATTGAAGTGGAAAATTGAAAAACTTTTAACTTTTAACTCTGTATGAATACATTTCCTTTTCCAAACAAAAGGAGAAAACAACATTGCACTTCAACATCATTCACAATCCAGCCTCCACACAAACAGAGATTTCACTGTTGACATTCACAATAACAAAGTATTTAGCAACATTTCTTCACTTATGACTTGGCCCCATATTCAGATCTTTATAGTTTATAGTTTATACTACACATACCATGATTTCATAATCATTACAAATGTAAAATGAGTTAAAGTACAAGTCCACTCCAAAAGTAACTTACTTTCAATAGAAGCAGAACAATCAGAAAAACCAATCAAAAATAAGTTTGAGCAAAATCGGATATAAGAAAGTTATGAATTTTTGAAAAAGTATGTTTAACTATGGAAGTTATGGAACAATGAAAATCACTACACAAATTGCCAATTTGGTTATCAGTTTATGACGTCATGTCCTCACTATTTATCAATGCTTTATATAGTTTAATCCAATTAATAACCCTATTTATCCCCCAAAACTTGATTCCCCCATACCTTTGCCTAGGTTATATGGTTTGTATGATATTTTGCATGCATGACATTTCACAAAATCTTTTATGAACTTTGAAGAATTGATGCTATTTCTGAATATTGTATATTCATAATTATTGATTGTTATATAAATAAGTTTATCAAAATTCACATTTTTCATGATTTAACTGGAAAAAAACAACTTTATATTAGTGCATCCACACAAAAACATATTACTATACTATCAATCTAACTTGGATGCTGGTGCAAAGAAATAAGGTTCTTAGGGGGGAAATAGGAAATTTATATTATCAATATAAAGAAAATAATTAGTGGATAGTGAGGACATGACGTCACAGACTGATGAGTGAGATCCCAATTTGTCTTGTGCTTTTCATTGTTCCATAGTTTTACATACTTTTTCAATAATTCAAAACTTTCTAATTAGTTATCCGATTTTGCTCAAACTTTTTTTTATTGGTTTTTCTAATTTTATTGCTTCTATTGAAAGAAAGTTATTTTTTGGAGTGGACTTGTCCTTTAACAGGCCTTTTCTATTTAAGAATATGGATGAAACATTGCAGGTTTATGAAGGGTACCTCTTGCTTTAATGTTTTTACTTGGAGAAAAATACCTAACTTTTTATTTTTAAATTTTAAAAAGGATTCAGATTTCTCACTTATTGCCCGAATACTGCTTGTATTGCTAGTTATTGTATGAATACTGCTTGTTATTTTGGATCTTTGTCAGAATGATTTAATAGAATCATATTATTCTACGCACATGAATAGGAAGCATATATATATGTCACTCTCAAGGTTTTATAATATATCGTGTGGTTTAAAAAAAAGTCTAAACTCAGAAATTAATTGTCATTTATTTTAAAGGTCAGCTATGAGCAACAGGTTATCATACATGTTTTGAAAGAGTATCAAAATAATAGACTGATTGACATATGACTTTTTACTAGCCAACAAGTTGGTCCTCTTACTTCCTGGCCTGGTATACCTAATCTAAATCCTTAGTGTGTCAATAATAGCAAACTTAGTTTATTTGGTTGTCAACCTAGTCTGGCATGCTTCTAAAGTTGCTTGTCAATCAAGACACTACAGTTATGAATGCAATTTAATTGCAATAATTCTTTTTCTTCTGTTTAATTTAGACTTTAGAAGATGCAATGTGTTTGGATGAGTGATGTTTTTTGTTATTGCAGTGGAAAACTGACAAACTTTCAATATTCTGTATGAAACTCAAACACAATGATAATCTCACAAGTAGTCAATAAAAGACATTTCCTTTTCCAAACAAAAGGAGAAAACAACATTGCACTTCAACATCATTTACAATCCAGCCTCCACACAAACAGAGATTTCACTGTTGACATTCACAATAACAAAGTATTTAGCAACATTTATTCACTTATGACTTGGCCCCATATTCAGATCTTTATACTACACATACCATAATTTCATAATCATTACAATGTTAAATGTTAAATGAGTTAACAGGCCTTTTCCATTTAAAAATATGGATGAAACATTGTGGGTTTATGAAGGGTATCTCTTGCTTTAATGTTTTTTACTTGGATGAAAATACTTAACTTTTTATTTTCAAATTAAAAACTATTCAGATTTCTCACTTATTGCCCATTAGTACATGTAATTGTTTGCATGTAATCCCCTGTAATTTCACTATCAGGTATTACATAAGAGCACACCACCAGTGTTTATTTCAAGCTCCACTTTCCAGTTTATCTTCCCCCCCCCTCTCTCTCTCTCTCTCTCTCTCTCTCTCTCTCTCTCCCCATCTTGCTCATCTCTCCTTTATGTACTTAGGATTCCCCCTGCTAATTACACACAAATCCCTATTCCCCTCTCTCACTTTCTTGTCTCCTCTCTCTTTTGGAATGACCACTGGTAGCATTCCTGATAAGAAATTTGTGATTTATAGGCAAATATAGGCCCATGTGGTACAGCCTCTTTTCCATCTTGCCTTTGTGGAGAGCAGACGTGTTTTTTTGGCATTGTACTAGTAACTAGCTCCTTTGTTTTAGGTAAGAGAAAAAACTAACTTTTCACAACTTTAACATTCTACTTTTGTAAAATATAATAAGACTAGGTCAACCAGGGATCAACAGTTACATCTTATACTTTTATGCAGGAGAAGTGTTACTGTAGAGCAATGAGATCTTTTCTTATAAATAGGGAAGAGCTAGAGCTTTTGTTCTCTATCTATCTAGCATATTTACTCCATCTACGTAATTAGTTAAAATCTATGGAATAATTAGGTTATATTTAATTATTTATGTAAATATATTTCTGTATCTTGACTGACATTCTGACAACCCTGTCTTGTAGGCATATAGAGTACCGAAGCTGTGACATAACAATCTATTCGAATTTCTCACTTTTTTCTTCATTTTCCGAAAGAGCATACAAAACAATGTCCAAATGTTGAAAACCAGTTGAAAATGTTAGAGTATTAGCTGAGATATGACCAATTGAATGAATAGATTTCCTAGGAGCTCAGTGTTATATTTGTCTGGTTCAACTGGTTTTTGACATTTTTTTTTATCATTATGATTATACCAAGTACCTTGGTTGGTGAATACACTGACAAGAAGAGGGGGGGGGGGGTGCTATATGTTAATTAAAAGTTATTGTTTGAATACTGCTTGTTATTGTGGATCTTTGTCAGAGTGATTTGATAGAATAATATTATTCTAAGCACATGAATATGAAGCATACATGTATATACAGTGCGACCCAGAAAAAATGAAACCGAGAATTATCGATGTTTTATCATAACTTAATCATAACAATTATAAATAATAAATGACACATATTTGTAAAGCTTAGATCCTCCTCTCTCATTTGATGCAACTCATATAATGCATATTTCATGCATGAGTGATTAAAAGCCATTTGAAGGAAGAAAACAAAAAAGTCATTTGGCGGGCATTTCTAGAAAGTTCATTTTCTGCCCTTTCATATGACACCTCAATCAGGAAAAATGAGCCAGGAATAACAAAGTTCTGTTTGTTTAAAGGGATGCTTGCATTCCCATAATTTTAATAAACAAAGTCGTTTTCACTGGCAACAACTTAACGTAGCAACAAACGGAATTGACAAAAGACTTAACTCCGTTTTGTTGACGATCAGCCATAGATGAAAGACTTCATGCATTGCTACTTATCGAGACGGCAAAAAAGACTGGGGCAAAAGTATTAAAGTGAGAGAATGAATTGAATGTATCAAATGAGATGCATTGCATAAGCTTTTTAAAGAAGCTTCTATATTTCTATGCTAGTACTTGTCGGTAGCCTTTTTAGCAACTAAACGATGATATTGTGGTGTGGTGTCTTTCATAGCTAGTGGTCACGATTGATTAGTGCAGCGTGCGTATGTATACAAGTTTTGCGAGTCATAACAGTTCCTCATAACATTTGTGCACACACACACACAGACACGTGTACCATTATTTTATATTTTATATTTGATATGTGTGGCATTATTAAAGGTAATACAAAGTTTTGGGAAATTTTGAAAATTGGGTGGATAGTGATTCTTTACAATTTATATATATTTGGATGCCCCTGTGGATGTATTATAAGCACTAGGAAATTTAGCCCGTAAAACACTTCTGCTTTCGGGGAAAATTGAATATAAAAATTTACCGGTGCTCCCGGTAAATTTTGATAAATTTCAAACAGCGCCTACGGCCGTACAATGGTAGCTGCGACCATGAAAATCTCAGAATATGTAGTTGTGATATATAATTTCCAAACAGGTATATTTAGTCAAGAAACATTGTTTCATAACTAAATTAATATCTTGACCTTGAGAGGGAGCTATACAACTTAAAGAGTTTATTATTTATAATTTCATAAGTTTAGACTCGATTTCAACTTGGACAACGATCAATGAATATTGTAGGAACGCATATGCTTCCAATATGTTAATTTGAACCAAATTCATGACCCCATACCAAAACTTTGTAATACCTTTAAGTTAGTTAGGGAGTTATTTGAATCTGCAAAGACCGAATTAATAACTGAATCCCAATTGTTTTAATATTCAAACATCACATAAGCACTTTGGCGCAAGTCTATTTATGCACTCCCTTAAACAATTCTATCCTGTTCATCTAAGCGTGAACACAAATCAGACACAAATGATTGGGATAAAACACTCTTTCATAATAATGATTTACTGTCAATATATAGATGGTTTTTATATTAATTAGCAATTTTTTAGGTGTAAACTTTTTTTGACTCGCACTGCAGCAGCCTGTTTGTAAGGCAATGAACCTAAAGCCCATCTGCACTAGTCTGGCCAGGAGGGGTTAGACCTCCCTGCATGGTCACTGGCAGGTGCTTATCTCATAAAATCAGCTCTCAATTAACATACAGTCTGTAAGCAAAAAGGGACCATTGGGGGGGGGGGGGCAATGGTCATTGATTAGGCATTGTTTGCTATATAGCGGGCGCAAGCAGTGCAGTGGGGCTTTAAAGTAGAGACATGCCTTTAACATCTCTCTCAAACTAGCATTACTTTGTAAAGTGTGGCTCGAATGCTTGAATGCTGTCACATGAGTGAGAATTCTACATCATTATTGTATTTTTAAAAAAATTTTTTTTCATCAGCAATGACAAAGACTGGGAGACCAGATAGTTACTGGGAAAATCTCCTGCGACTATATGCTAAAGGAAAGCATCATTTTGGTACAGGCCAAGCACCTGGGAGTAGGAGGTGGAAGAAAGTGAGGAAGAGCATTGATGAGTGCCCTCTACACAAGAAGCAGACTGTCAATGTTTTTGGAGCTGCTGTTCCCTGCAAATGTGGTTACCATGAGGTTTGTCATTGATTTCATCATTGATCGAGTTGATTTTGAGATGGTTTGGTGTGGCATTTTATATATCTCATAATTCTCATTTCTGTTATAACTTAGAATGGAAAGTTTTTAGGTGATTCCACAGGAAAGTGGACAAAAAAGAAATAATCGACTCTATTTCAAATTTTATTTAACTTTTCTGGATTTTTGTTGTCTTTGATATTTGATATATATATTTCAAAATATCACATAACATACTTAACCTTGATTACTTTATATAAGGAGATTGTCACAGATCTATTGGTGTAATACATTTTTGCCTTATGTCCTTTTTTTGTGAAATATGAGTTACTAAACTTTGACTAGCTCTGTTTGTCTTTTTTGTGTTGTCCAGCTAATGCACATGCATCTACTAGATCCTTGTAGATGAAATCAGCCTACCATTCCTATAAAATAATTAAGTTATAGCACAATAAAGAAGTCAGAGAACCTGTTATTAAAGTATAACAGAAGTTATCATGGAAATGCCCTATTATGCATTGTAATTTGTTTTTAAGAAATAACTAATTTATGGAAAATGCAAACTTCAATAAAAGGCATTTTGGTTAAGTATAGTAATTGTGACATTTTACCTATCACATTTGGTATTTTTTTGTTACATGTCTGAAACGTACACTTCCAAGTATTACTAAATATATAGAAGCTCATTTGTTTCCTAACAACTTCTTTGACTGCATTTGTGCTTATATAATGTGACCTCCAAAATCTACATTATTGTTATAAGATATAAACAGCAATTCAAATTGTTAACATGAGATATAGAAAAAGTGTTTACAAAGAGTGTATTTATTTACACTCAGACTCCACAGAAAAGTCAAGAGGCGCCACCACCACCCATGGTCACCAGCGGGGCACCACACACATTCCATCAGGCACCCAAGTCTCTTACCCAGGCCCCACCTGCACACACTGCGGTCAGCCAGCCACCCTCGCCACCATCGCTACCATCCACTAGCAAACCCATTCCACATGAAGATCACATCAAATGCTCCTTGTGTGCACAAGAGGTGCTGGTCACTGATTACAGCGACCATCTTTCTCTCTACCATGCTCAGACAACCTGTGCTCAGTGTGGCAGAAAATGCCAGGGAGGAGAAGTTGGATTGACACAACACATCGAAGCAACACATGCAGCCCCACCCACAAGTGAGTCGATTTATAAATGCAAAACATCAACACGTTTTTAACTTAGACTAATTTAATGTGATGATTATAAACCTGTTCAAGAGTGTTCCCGAAATTAATTGATCAACCTGTAATCTATAGGGAATGCATGTTATCAAATCGTCTTTAATGGGTTGAAAAGGATGGAGGCTAGATTCTTTTTTTATATTACTACTATATGACTGATAATTTGCAAAATTTAAATTTACATTTCCCATGGGACTTTTTTGTTAGAGGGGATGGGGGAGCAAAGCCTTCTTAAAGGTATTACAAAGTTTTGGTATGGGGTCATGAATTTGGTTCAAATTAACATATTGGGAGCATATATGCATTCCTAGAATATTCATTGATCGTTGTCGCGGTTGAAATCGAGTCTAAAGTTATGAAATTATAAATAATAAACTCTTTATGTTGTATAGCTCCCTCTCAAGGTCAAGATATTAATTTAGTTATGAAACAATGTTTCTTGACTAAATATACCTGTTTGGAAATTATATATCACAACTACATATTCTCAGATTTTCATGGTCACAGCTACCATTGCTATTTGAAATTTATCAAAATTTACCGGGAGCACTGGTAAATTGTTATATTCAATTTTTCTCGAAAAAGAAGAGTTTTTAGGGGCTAATTTTGTTAGTGCTTATAATACATCCACAGGGGCATCCAAATATATCAAAATTGTAAAGATTCACTATCCACCCAATTTTCAAAATTTCCAAAAACTTTTTATTACCTTTAATCATAATAATATTGTTGATAATATAATTATAAGGATATAATGTCAAATGTAATGCTAATTTTTTTTCTTCTCTATAACTATACCATCACCATGCAGGGATAGCCAGACGAGCTCAGCAGCCATCACACACCGTCAGTCGGGCACCAGGTGCGGAGTCGCTCCCCCGTTCCGCCCCACGCACCGTCAGTCGTGCACCAGGTGCGAAGTCGCTCCCCCGATCCGCCCCACTCAGCGTCAGTCGTGCACCAGGTGCGAAGTCGCTCCCCCGATCCGCCCCACACACCGTCAGTCGGGCACCGGATGACGAGTCGCTCCCCCGATCCGTCCCACTCAGCGTCAGTCGTGCACCAGGTGCGAAGTCGCTCCCCCGATCCGCCCCACACACCGTCAGTCGGGCACCGGATGACGAGTCGCTCCCCCGATCCGCCCCACTCAGCGTCAGTCGTGCACCAGGTGTGAAGTCGCTCCCCCGATCCGCCCCACGCACCGTAAGTCAGGCACCGGATGACGAGTCGCTCCCTCGATCTGCCCCACCCACCGTCGGTCCTGCAGAGCCACTACCTCGGGCACGACCTGACTTGAAAAGTTTCCTACCAGCGCAGTTCAGGAGGGAGATTTTGGAGGCCGACCAGGACTGGATTGCGCACATAATATATGATGATCAAGGACAGTTGAGGGAGACCTTTCCTCAGAATTGGTTTTTCCCCCCTGCTCCCCCAAAACCAACAGTGTCCCCTCCTAACCCAGGGAGCTACTTTAGGAGAAGATTATTTGTTTGGGCTCCTATGAGAATGTGGGGCATCCCACTGAAGTGCCCTACATGTGCAGTGAAAATGAACCACTCGGGGATCTACCCTAAGATTAGGGAAGTGGTGGACATCGACACACGTTACTACCTGGTGGGAGGAGAGTACCCACGGTGTAGTCGATGCAAGCTGCCTCTGTGTCCCTGGAACGAGGACATCATCAAGCAGCTTGATCCAAGCCACAGGCAAGTGTTCCCAGCCATCTTGACAGCGCACCTGGCCCTGGACAGGAAATGCGTTACACTATTGAAGCCACGGACAGAAGGTAACAGCTCCAGCTACTGCCAGCAGGCCCTGGAGGAAATACACAGCGAGGAGTGGGGGCGGAGAGTTGTCAGCTATCTAGCTGCTTGTGATCTCCACAAGAAAGGGGCAACTCTCACCCAGGCTACTGGACATCAGTACGAGCCACCACTACCATACACTCCCGTCCCTTTGGCACAGTGGTTCCAGACTGTGCACACAAATCACATCCTTGGCCATCTTCAGGAGCACAGAGGGGTTATAACATCTACCTATGGCCGAATCCTCAAGATAGATTCCACCAAAAAGGTAAATCATTTCATATGCATAGAATATAGATGAATGCAAGAAATAATCTAAATCACTCTACCATCAGTTTTCAGAAAACATTAATCAATAACAGCAGTTTTATGAGCTGGTGTCTGTATTGCATTTTGTTGGAAATGAAAAATAAAAATGAAATGAAAAAAAAGAAATGAAATACAAACATGTAACTTAATTGGTATGCACAATAACATTAATGATAACATTATCAGTGTTACAATGAACATGTCAAGCTAATGTGGGAATAGTGTGATCTTAGTGGTTTCATTTTCGTATGAATATTCTGAGCTCACTTTCTGCATACAATATTTACAGGTTCAGAATTGTCCATAAAATCCACAATTATACTATTTCATATTATCAATCAATTAGTTGGGCCAATTTACTTCTTTTCCAGAATTTGGCTTGAAAATGGCCTATAATGGGTGGAAATGAATGCACATTCTAAACGAAGTGATTGAGTAAAATCTTATTTTCATATTTGGTTCATGAATTAATCATTTCAGATCACAAAGAAACTTGCTGGGGATGTAGCCCACACTGCCAGCTGGATGACAAATGTCGGAAATGACATGGGGCAGGTACTCAACTCAGTGTTGACAACTGGCGAGGGTTCTGGCCTTGATGAAATGTGCCAGGGTATTGTGCATAGATACCAGGATGCTAACGTGCCTCAGCCGCAAATTATCTATGTGGACAGAGACTGTTGCAGTATATCAGGTAAGAAAAAGAATATGAAATTACTTGTCAGGAAGTTCTTGGCAGAAAGTTTTTTTTTTAATAGTTAATACACACTTGCAAAGATGAGTGAAAAGGTAGGAGCTTTCAAATAACTTTTATCTTAAGTCTCGACAGGTCGACGACTGATATCAGAGAGTTTTCAAAATACTTCCCTACCCCTGAAAATAGTACTGCAATTCAAGTTTGCATGTTCATATCTTTCTTGTCACAATATTCTTACATGAATTTGGTATTGAAAAACCTGTTTATTCCCCTTGATGCCCCATTTGAAATGATTATGTGATCAGGGAATGTGCAAACTGGATTAGACCTCTTTTTTTTTTTTACTCTCTTTCATAAACAACCTCTATTCATGAACATTTCTTTCCAAATAACAATATCAGTGCATATAGCTTAAAAAAATATTGATTTGTTTGTTTCTGCTTTATTAGAAGCAGGCTCTGAAGTAGGTACTATATAAATTAGTTTTTGTTAGAATTATTAGTATTGTCACAACGTCACAACGTGGCGGACATGTGCGCTATATAAGAAGCCACCATTATTATTATTGTTATTATTATTTATATATTGATAATACTTCTACTATTATTATTACAATTATTATTAATATTATTTCATAATAATCATCATCACCATGACCAGAAAATTACCAGTCATCATAACATGCTTCAAACAATCTTTATTTATAATCTTAACCTAAATATGAATTCAAATAAAAGGTACACTTATTTCTCACTGCTTTACAGGCAAGCTTCATGTCCTTACACTGTTTCGTCCGTGGACCTGTGCAGTGAGGTTGGACATCTTCCACTTCATGAGAAGATTCGTTGCAGGCCTCACCACGGAGCACCATCCTCTCTTTGGCACCTTTCTCTCCAAGCTGTCCAGCTGCATCTTTGAGTGGGACGCTAGGGATGTCGGCAAGCTCAGGGAAGCAAAGAGGAGGGAGCTGAAGAAGAGAGGTGGTCGCAAGCCGACAGAGGCACAGGTCTCAGCTGCTATTACAAGCAGTGAGCTGGCCAAGCACTGTAGGAGGAGGACGCGTGGGGTGGAGGAGATCCAGGGGCTACTCGACTCCATGTGGCACCTTACTGACACGCTAGGGGTACCCTTCATCAACAAGGAGTGTATGGCCAAAGTGTGGGAGGTGCAGCAGAAGCATCTGGCTTGCATCCAGGATCCTCCAGGGGTGGAACTTTACACCAAAGTTGGCCATGTGGTGAAGGGTGGCAAGGAGCTGGATGTGCTCAAGTGTGGTAGAGGCTCATCATCTTTGGAGAGCTTCCATCGCCACCAGTGTAGTTTCATTCCTGGTAAGTTTAAATCATTCTTAATATATAATTAACATGGTGATAATCTTTCTTTGCTCTCGCAATACTCATATTGCCTCAATATTCCTATTGCATGCTTATAACCATATTGTGGCTGGCAACCAACTTCCTCCATCCTTCAGTTGACTGCCTTTCTCAAATTTTCACTGAGCATCAAGCCTGCAAATTCAATCTGTTTCTGCTTGCTTTCTATCCATCCTTGTAGCACCATCTTAGAACGTCCTGACATCCAGAGACATGCATACCCATACTCTATACAGTTTGTTTTTTATATTTTCATTGCCACGCATTAATCATAAATCCTTTAAATAAATACCTTAGGTAAGTGGTTGGTATACAAAATAACTACCAGTCTTTTTCTTTTCAAGGTTGGAGGTGCAACGCTGTGCATACGCAGATGTACATGTTGGAGGGTGGGTCACGATGGGACATCGACAGAGCCCGAGAAGCTGTGGACTTGGGTGTTGGACGAAGGACTAGGCTGTATGATGTGCACTTGATGAGCAACATCAACAGCATGAGCCAGAGGATCCTCGGCTATGAGATTCTTCCCCAGTTCAAGGCACCAGAAAACCTACTAGTAAGATCAACTCCATAATGTTTTTTGTTGGAAATATTTGACTTAAAAGTTGTAGGAAATATCCATATGTTTTTATAATAAGCAGTTACTATTTCATCTGTTTGAACTTTAATACTTGTTCATGCATCTGCAACAGAGAGGAAGGAAGCATTATCTGTGGGGTGTTGTACTTATCCGTTCCTCCCGAACTTGGGATTACTTTATCTCAAGGGCCCATTGACAGATTACAATGCATCAAACATTTTTTTAAGGAGCCAATAAACTTATCAGATTTAGGGGGTCATGAGGTCAAAGGTCACAGGGCTCATTTTGTAGCAGTTATCTCCAGAAATCAGTTGAGGGCTGTACATTGCATAGTTGGTTTTCAGGACTAATTGATTTTGCCATAACATGTATTCTCCTTATAACCCTAGCCCAAGTGCTTTTCGGGACCAGTCCTGAATGAGTTATAACTGATTTTATGTTGTAGGAAAGTTCCAAAGTGAATTCTTTAAGAATAAGTCAAAAAAACTTAGTAAGGGTGCCCAATATATTGCCTGTTAATTTGCTAGGAGAATACATTTCAATTTTCAAAAGTGAAGAGTTCATATGTAAAAATCTATAAAACCAATTTCACCAATTCAAGGGAATTGTAAATTGGCTGGAAAACAATGGCAATAGTAAGAAACTGTGCAATACTTTTAATCATGTCTTCAAAAATATTTCTTAAAATGCAATGAAAATCATTTAAAAGACATGTTTGCTGTTATACGAAGCTACCTTTATCTTAAAAATTTAGGAAATGATTTTTTATCGGTTTTTGCATATGAATTCTTCTAGTATTCAATGCAACAATTATAAAAGTGGACTTTCATTTAATTGTTGTTCTTTATCCACATACCTAATGCTTAAACGATTAGATGCAGCCATTTTAGGAGAAATGTTGAAACACTTTGACTTCTATATTCCTTACCAACTTTCCTAAAACTGTATTTGAATTACTGCTCAAACATATAGAGTATTTAAACATTTTCTTGTTTCGAATAGAAATCATGCTATCACTATTAATGAATTGTGTTCATGCAATGATATTTTGCAGATGAGAAAATCGCTGTGGAATACATGCTAGCCCAGTCTGGAAGAGGGGACCTGCTTGCTCCAATCCTTAGCACTGAAATTGGGGCCAGTCTGCCAGATATCCAGCCAGAAGATATCGAGATGGATGATATCTTGGATGTTACTGTTTGTGATGCCCTTGATGTGAATATGAATATCCAGCAAATATCTATTCAGGTTCCACAGCACCAGGAAGAAACATCGATCGTCACAACTAGGTCTCTACTGGCAAACCAGCCAGCCCTCGCCACCGAACCAGCCCGACTTGCCACCTCAGCCAGACAAAGCCGTCTTGCCACCCCAACCAGACCGGCCCGTCTTTCCACCTCAACCAGGCTGGCCCGTCTTGCCACCTCAACCGAGCCACTCTCGCCTTCACCACCTCCGTCTTCCCTGCAGTCTTCCCCACATCCTTCGCCTTCACTGTCCGACTTCCCAACCTCGGCCAGACCATCCCGTCTTTCCACCTCAGCCAGACAAAGCCGTCTTTCCACCCCAACCAGACCGGCCCGTCTTTCCACCCCAACCAGACCGGCCCGTCTTTCCACCCCAACCAGACTGGCCCGTCTTTCCACCCCAACCAGACCGGCCCGTCTTTCCACCCCAACCAGACCGGCCCGTCTTTCCACCCCAACCAGACTGGCCCGTCTTGCCACCTCAACTGAGCCACTCTCGCCTTCACCACCTCCGTCTTCCCCACATCCTTCCCCACAGCCCTCGCCAAAACAGGTAAGGAACTGATACCTATCCTTTCTTTAGTTCATCCTACATTTACACATATTTTATGTATTAAAAAGAGTGAGAGGTATTGTTATTTTAGGCTGTCTATGCCCATGCCTATATGTCCTGTTTATCCCTGTATCATTTGGTAAACAATTCTCATCAAACCAGCTACACCAGGGAATAATAATTTGGATTCATAAGTCCACAGAATTCATTTTATATAAAATTCTGTGTGAGTGAAACAAATGATCAGTTTGAATTAACATAAGACATTGCTTCGTGGCGCGCGACAACCCTATGCTTAATTGAATTTTTCTTGAGTTATGTTGTAGGTTTAGCTTACCCATTATATCCCTTTTGTCACAAGGCATGTAGAATGGTGCATATCTATAACTTCTTATTAGCTCACTTTGATTGATATTAGTTGTGCGGTGTATGACTATATTTAAGACAAAGTTATATATCCCCCGTCCTATTATATATTTTCAAAGGATGCACGCTATGACAATAGAGGGCAACCTGGCTGGGAGGCAGTGGACAACCTGGCTGCCTATCTGGTGGGTCTGAACAGAACCATAACGGCACTTTCTGCAGCAGAGATCGAGGAGATAAAGAGGCTATACACCCTCCTGGATGATGCAGATAAGGCCCCCATGGAATATTCTTTGAAATCAAAGAAACGGACCCTTCTCGGGCCATGGAGAGCATCGCGGAAGCGGAGTGGTTCTGTACCTGGACAGCAGGCTGCTGAAAGGTGATTTAGTACTCTTTAAATTCGTAAAAGGAAGCCGAACACTGGCATTTCTGTCGACTGATACTGATAAGTGCATAATTCCTGTCACTTCTAGTTTTCCTTCGGGTATCACATATAATGAAAATATACATTTTATTAATACCTATATCATCTTTTTTGACTGCCATGTTTTCACAATGAACCACCTGAAACATCATTTGAATGTGCACAAAGAAGAACAGGTTACGTATAACCCCTGTCATTGAATCTTCTGCTACGTCATGTAACCTGCTTTTGTAAGTGACGTTACATTCAATACTGTTGGAAAACATTGCAGCCTCCAATGGTGAGTCCAAACAGATGAAAGAGCATTCTCTCAAAGACATTGATTATTTCCATTATTAGTGACTTCTATTATAAAGTGATACCCGAGAGGAAATGGATGAATAGAAGTGACAGGAATAGGCACATATCAGAAACAGTAAGCAACTACTGTATGTCAGCATTTGACTTCTTGGCATAGATCGTCAAGCTGGTTTCTTATATTCGTGGGAGGAGGGGGTGATTTATTCATTCATGCCACCTACTTGGGGCCTCCTCCTGTAAAAATAGATTTAAGCATATTTACTCCAGTATACTCCTTGTTTAATAAAGTATAATCTGTTTATAGTTTATATTTTATTTATAGCTATATAGTACCAGTGCGTTTCAGTCAGAGGTGGGAAGATTGCGGTAAAAATTACAGCACAATTTATTAGATACATAAATGAATGAGTGATTGTTCCTCTAAGTGATCCATTAATTTTGTCCAATTCAACCAAACTCACTTTGACCTTTCACAATTGTCTTGAACCTTGTTGTTTAGTGGTAACCAAAGAATGAAATTGGTTTAGATTTTTCAAATCAATTATGGAGATATTTTTGCTCAGTGGGCAGTAGGTTATGAAATCTGTCAGCAGTTTCCATTTGTTCACTATGTAACTAACAATTGTACAAGCATTGCTTTTTAGTGGACCCCTCTGTTTCCTATGTATTCCTTAATTGTTGTAAATGATTATAATTGATATTTGATGTTCTGATGAATTGAATTAAACTGTTTTTTCTTCTATTAAACTATCACATATTGTATCTTGAAATGATATTGGTTTATGATTTAATTCTCAAATATAATTTTTTTTGGAAAATTAGCTACTACTGGATCACTTGAAACCATTTCTGTTGGTATGTTCTTAATAATGTCAATGTTACATCCCTAGCACCAGGGTATAGTTTGTATAGCACAATCAAGATGAAGAATGGAGTATGGTCTATAGTGTGTTGAAAGGTACTAGTATTTGATCTTATCTCTAGGTTATTCCATTCAGCCTAGTGGGGTCTATAACTTTCATTTTCAATTGAGAGGGTTAGGCCGGGTAGGGATCAATTGTAAGCTTAATCTGTATAGACTTTCATTGGATGCAAATAGGGGTCTATCTTTATACATGATTGATTAGTGCACATTTGCTTTAGTTCTTTATCTATAATTATGCATTTAATTTCTGATTATTTTTTCAGGTTGTACTTGTCAGGGGGAGTAGCAGCTGAGAGGCCTGACTCAAACAGAGTGTCCGAGTGTATTTGCCTGCGCCTGTTTAAGGAGTACACTCTGACGAGAAACCGGCCAAAGGACATCTTAGGAAAGACCCTCCCTATCCCCCAGGCCATTGTCCATTCTTACACACATATCAAGCAGCTGGTGGAAGACGGCCCACAGGAGCTTCTACGTACGGACCTGGTGCTGGTCACACTGAACAACACCACGGTCAGCAACTGGTGAGCAATACACATTTCTTAATGATAATAGAATTATAAGATTATAAGAAACTAAATATACCCTACCCATATAGAGAAAAATTGGCAATGTGAATGCCTTGATTATAGAGCGAGAAAAAAAGGGCAAAGCGAGAGGTGAATTGTACTACATATGCAGTCAAGTGAACTATGTTCCATAAATGCTTACTTGCTTTTCCACCTCTATGTGGCTTTTTTTATAGTATCATATTTTAAAATCCAACATTACAATATGCATATCTATGAGGGTAAACTTGTACAAAGCTAGGCAAATAAATACGAACCAGATGAATTGCATTTGAAAGCTATCCAGACTCATCTCAACTGGAGGACAGGATCACTATCAATTTTCTTTGTCTATGTGATTTGCATTGGGGAAGAAAAAAATGTAAAAGTGAAATTGTAGATGAAAACTGAATGATGGATCCACTTGAAGGATAGATATGATATAAAATAAAATTTTATTTATTTTCTAAGAATATTACTTGTAATATATTTCGTTGAAGTAAAAGTGAAGTGAAAGTTGGGAGACAAAGAGAGGTGTATGTAAATACCTATTTCCTGACAAGGCTCATCAAAACAGAATTTGAGTGGAGTAGACGCATTACAGTTGACCAGATTTATGACTGCTAAATCACGATTTGGAAACTTTCATAGAACCTGTGCATGATGACTATAATTGAATATGTCAATAATTTTATTTTTATTAGATGATTTGAAGAAGAAAAAAAAAAAAAAAATCTACAAGCAACCCTTCTGTTTTACAATATGTTAATAATTGAATTTGTGCATTCTGTTTATTTTTTAGGCTGAAGAAGCGCCAGGAAAAGACACAAACTTCAATGCTGCTGCAGGGTGTCACCCTGCCAGACACTGTTTCCCTGGCAGTGGACCCACTACCCCTTCCACGGCAGCGACCCAGCGAGCCATTGAGACATGAAGCCCCGATGGAGTTTGATGAACCCCCAAACAGGGAAGGCCAAACTGCAGTACGACAAAGAAAAAAGAAGCGGCGAACAGGAATGGAGGATACACCCTCTTCCTCATCTTCAACCATGCCCTTTCCTCCGACCATGATGCCCCCTCCTTTCCCACCAATCCCCTCCCGCCCAACTACAGGTGCCTGGCCAGGTATGCAGCCTGGTCAGTTCAGCTGGTACGGACCTCAGCCATGGCCTGTCTCTTCTCCCCATCTTCAGGAGGAACAGGAAGCTCCTTCCCCATCAAGCCAGATGCCACAATCCCGGCAGAGAAGTTGGAGGAGAGAGAAGGCTCTCAAGGAGGATGAGGAGAGAGTGGCGAGGGGTGAGGCACCAAAAAAAAGATATTCCAAACGTAAAGAATGGTATACCTGTTCTCAGTGCCAAGAGCCTAAAACCAAAGATACTGGCCACACCCAATATAAGGGTAAGTGGTACTGCCCCGCCTCAGGACAGAGTCTTGACGAGTGGAGGAGTTCACTAAAGAAATAGATCTTCTTTCCTCACCCTCTTCTGTTTTTAGGGAATTATTCACCTAAAATAAAGGAAATAGAAAGTGGTTTCTTTTCTACCTTGTCTTGTAGCAACACCTGTTGCAACCGGTACCAGAATTGGTGAGCCACTATATTTACAAGGTGAATTATAGGTACGGTAGTTGTTCAATATTGCACAGTTCCCGTAGAAAGAACATGTGGACTATATATACAAAGCAATGTCGCTTTTTATGCCTCTGTTACAAAGTAGCCGGAGGCATTATGTTTTCGGGTTGTCCGTCCGTACATACGTACGTACGTCCCGTTCTCGTGATCGCGTTATCTGAAGAACCGACTGATGGGTTCCTGCCAAACTTTGGTCATGTATGTATCTTGCAGAGCCAATGAACTGATTAGATTTTAGGGTCATGAGGTCAAAGATCAAAGGGTCATACATGTATATGAAAAAAAGCTTGTAGTCACGATATTCTGAGAACCTGTTAATGGTTTACAATCGAAGTTGAATTTTAAAAATTGCTTCTGTTTTGGTTGGTATAATCGCCCAATGGCGGAGGCATCATTTTCGACTGCGCGCAGTCGAAGGCCCATCTAGTTTGCGGATGAATTAAGTAAGGGAGACGAAACTTATACTGCAATAAAGTAATAATGCCTTTTTAATAGAAACGAGTAGAAAATCGAGCGAAGAAGTAAGACGTTACTTACGATGAAGCTGAATTAGCCTTGATAAAGACTCTCTCTAAAAAACGTGTGCTCTATAAGAACAGCTTAGGAGGAGTGATGAAAATAGTTGGGGCAATTAAAAGCAAGTTTAATAGGCATGTATATGCTATACCAGTTACCTTTGATGTTTGCAAATCCCAACACATAAGGTGTGGAATGTGCTTGCCAGAATAACTCCACATCCCAATACAATATGGTTTAAATGTGTTTGACAGTAGTATGTGTGACACACTAATAATGTTACAGGTGTCACTATAGAATAGATGATAAAGCTAGGCAAGACTTCTAGCCGCACAAAAAAGTCAAAACAATGATATTTACAAATTTTAAGTTCTTCTAAGGTCAATTTCTTCTCCTCCATTTATTTCATTTTTACTTCTCTTTTTATCCTTCTCTCTGTTTCTTTTTTCTTCACCTCGCTTTCTCTCTCTCTCTCTTTCTTTTCTTCTTCTCTTTCTCTTTTTTTCTATTTCTCTTTCCTTCTTCTCTTTCTCTTTTCTTCCACTCTTTCTCTTTTCTTCTACTCTTTCTCTTTTCTTCCACTCTTTCTCTTTTCTTCTACTCTTTCTCTTTTCTTCCACTCTTTCTCTTTTCTTCTACTCTTTCTCTTTTCTTCCACTCTTTCTCTTTTCTTCCACTCTTTCTCTTTTCTTCCACTCTTTCTCTTTTCTTCCACTCTTTCTCTTTTCTTCCACTCTTTCTCTTTTCTTCCACTCTTTCTCTTTTCTTCCACTCTTTCTCTTTTCTTCTTCTCTTTCTCTTTTCTTCCACTCTTTCTCTTTTCTTCCACTCTTTCTCTTTTCTTCTACTCTTTCTCTTTTCTTCCACTCTTTCTCTTTTCTTCCACTCTTTCTCTTTTCTTCCACTCTTTCTCTTTTCTTCTACTCTTTCTCTTTTCTTCCACTCTTTCTCTTTTCTTCTACTCTTTCTCTTTTCTTCCACTCTTTCTCTTTTCTTCTACTCTTTCTCTTTTCTTCTTCTCTTTCTCTTCTCTTTTTCTTATTCTTTTTCCTCCCAATGCTCGTCTCTCCTTTTCCTTCTTCTTCCTCTCTTCTTTTCTTCTCCTTCTGCTTCCTATCTTTCCTTTTGTTCCTGTTTCTTTATTATGCTTAATTCATCATTCATACTTATTCAATAGCTTCTGTATGAATGTAGAGTTCAGATAAGATTAGTTTGTTATCTCTTTGTTGTTAATTATGCATCAGTCACATATATTGTTTCTAATTTGTGTATATTTACTACCCTTTTATGTTTCATCATCTGTTTAGAGCCACAATGGCATTGATCCATATTACTTTGACATGGAGTTAACGCCCTTGTGACCCCAACATGTCCGTTAATATTTTTGTTCAGTGTGTATCACTTATTAAAGGGACTTGGTAACATTGTAAAGATGTGGTAAAATGGTGCTAAGGTAGCTGACTTCAATGCTAGATTTACAATTAAAGATAATTTGAAAGTTTGAGTGAAATCAGACCATTAATAACGAAAAACTTTGAGACAAACTGATCTGATCGATTCCTTAATTCTCCCAACTATATTATTACAATTTAATTAATTTTTTTAAAGGCCTTGGATTTTTTGTCTTCTCTTTTCCACTTTTTGTTTTACTTTGGTTTTATTTTGTGGGTAGTATTTAAACAAGTGTATGTACTATTACTTCATTTGTTAATAATCATGATTGTTAATAAAGTGATATTGAAATCACAGCACATTATCTTCAGATCTGTTTGACCGATTGCAACCAAACTTAGCAAGAATCTTGAATAGGTCATCTTTTGCATACATGAAAGGCACCTGTGGTCATTCCAGTGGTCTGCAGCTTAACTGTTTATCATTTTAAAGGCATTTTTGCAGGTTAAGGGTTTTGGCGGTCAAGATTAGATAACTGTAATTCAATTTTTACTTGACCATTTGTCTTGAAACCTGGTATAAATGATGAGAATATCATCTGTCACATATGGTACCTGTATTAGCTCTATTGTCTGATAATCATGATTTTATGTTTTCTATATATGCTTCTGTTTACTCATTTTCCTTTTTTGATCTTGTTATATTTTGTATATATGTATATTATATTGTAAAGCGCATTGAAATGGCAATATAAAAGAACAAAAGTATATTATTATGATACATGTAACACATGTAGTGTACATGAAGCTTTAAGACCATATCCAAACTGAAAGATGAAATGGATGAATTATATATCAACGGAAAGCTTATAAGCCAAAGATAACAATAATATAATTATATATATAATTATATGCCATTTTAGTGTCTGCCAGAGGAGTATCAGCTTTATGAAAACTCAAAATCTAAAGCTTTGAAAATCGTTAGTTAATTGTAGACTTGATGACATCATCTTATGTGGAGTATGCATATTCAAAACGACTTTGCATTAATTAAGCACGGCTCATCGCCTCAGCTATATAGGTGAAGTGATGGGGTACCCATGTTATGTCGTCACTGTAACTTCGGCAAATTTGACCCCTGTTGACCTGTAATTTGGAGGGGTTTTAATTTGCTTTTGTGCAATGATTAAAGGGTAAATACTTGTTATTCCTTTATATTTGTATTCTAAATTCATTCAGTTTTCCATTGATATCAAGTTGTATTTTCAACAGTTACAAACTTTGAGGTTTTTGTCAAGGTCTTATACCTTCAGTTAGGAGTGGCCAATAGTGCTGTGGATAGAGAAGTAATTGATAGGCACTTGAACATTTCTGTGAATTTCAATATGTCAAAGGTCAAGGGTCAACAAACTGTGCTTAATTTTGAATATTCCAGGTTTAACTTCAGCTAGGAGTTTCCATCAGCGATGTTTGATGAGAATGTTAGCAATAGGCACTTTGGCATTTTTTGAAGTAACCAAAGTTTAAGATCAAAGGTGTGTTTAATAATCTACAATGGCCTAGCTGGGGGATGGGAAGGGTCTTTCCAAGGGTATCTTTTGGCCGGTTTTTGGTCAGAGTGCACTCATTGAACAGGAGGAGGAAAATGCACTCTGACACTCTGTACGAGTCTGGTCTTTCTTTATTTTTTCTAATCTTTTGTCAGGGAAGCCCATTCACCAATAAGTAGTGGTCTTCCATGGGGCCCTGAATAAAGAACAGCCTCAAACAAAAGAATAAAAAATTAACTGCATAATAATACATAAAGAATTAAAAAACATGTGCACATAATCATGTATAAAGTTATACCCCTAGTTGACTATAATGTTGCATTTTCAGGTATAACTTCACCTGGGAGTCTATTGGTGATGTTATTTGGTGTTAAAGAGTAATATTAGGCTGTGGAACATTTTGGTGAAGGAACTTACATCAATGTTCAAAGGTCAATGAACTTGCTATCAATTTGCATATTCCAGACAGAAGTTGAGTGTCTATAGAGTACCGAAGCTTTGACGTCATAAAAATCAATTTTAAAATTTCTCAATTTTTTCTTCATTTTCCGAAACCAATATAATATGTTAAGTATTGGCCGAGATATAACCATCTGAATAAAAAGATTTCCCATAGGAACTCACGTGTTATTTGCTCTGGCTCCTAACCATTAGGAGCCAGAGCATATAACACCGAGTTACCATTGGACATATATCTATTCAGATGGTTATATCTCAGCCAATACTTAACATATTAAAATGTTTTTCGACATTTGGACATTACTTTTGATGCTATTTCGGAAAATGAAGAAAAAAGTGAGAAATTCTAAAAATAGAATTTTGATGACGTCACACTTCACCACTCTATATATCATATTATTTGGTGAAAACGGTAGATTGTGTGGAATTTGCCTCGTTAGAAGAAGGGTCGGTATATACATTGTATGAGTTTACATTTTCAGTTTTTGTTTATTCTTTATTAAAGAATTTTAAACTTATGATTCTTAAGTTTTGATAACCTACTTCAAGTTTTGATTGACCATTTCTTTTATGTTTCGGAGAATTGTTTGTGTGGGTATGTGTGTGTGTGAGCGTATGTGTTTGTTTGTATTACAAAGGAGAAGGAAAAGAAAATGAAAGGAAAGGAAAAGTAAGAGAGAGAAAAAAAAAGATTTTTTGATATTTTATACACATTTGGAGAAATTAAAAATTGAAGGAAAAAAAGTGTGTGCGTGCGTGTGTGCTCCTGTAAAAATATACAACAATCCATTAAAGTGCTGCATCAATGATTTGTATAACTAAATATTACAACCACTAGTTCCGAGAATTTTTATAAATGTAACCTAGCTGATCTAAAAGGGGCTGTAAAACATCACCAATATTCTGTTAAATATATA